GTATTTCCCGAAACGCCAAATGAAGTCAACGACTCCATCTTTGGTGACGACGCAGGCTCATCGCCCGCGGGCAACCGAGGGGCAATTTCAAACAAGTCGAAATTGGCCCATGCGCATCAAGGTAGCTTGGATTGTCCGAAACTTTTGCCTCGCCAGCTGACCAAGGAAGCCCTGGAAGGACTGCGAGACCATGTGGACGACCAGTCCAAGCTCCTCGATAACCAACGACAGGAGCTGGCTGGCGTCAACGCCCAACTTCTCGAACAAAAGGAGCTGCAAGAACGGGCTCTCGCCATGCTTGAGCAAGAGCGTGTGGCTACACTTGAGCGGGAGCTCTGGAAACACCAAAAAGCCAACGAGGCTTTCCAAAAGGCCCTGCGAGAAATTGGTGAAATCGTCACCGCCGTCGCCCGTGGTGACTTGACCATGAAGGTCCGCATGAATACAGTCGAAATGGACCCCGAAATTACAACCTTCAAGCGAACCATTAATGCAATGATGGATCAGCTGCAAATCTTTGCCAGCGAAGTATCTCGGGTCGCCCGTGAAGTCGGTACGGAAGGTTTACTTGGAGGTCAGGCCCGTATCGGCGGTGTCGACGGAACATGGAAGGAGTTGACAGATAATGGTAAATTTCCCGACCTCCTTTTTACACCTATCTACATGTATCTTGTCTGGTCTTTGTCCCTTTGTGACTAACACAATTTCTCTCTGTTGATTAGTAAACGTAATGGCTCAAAACCTCACCGATCAAGGTATGCTAGGTCATCTTTCTTTTGTTGGGCTGGGCATGGGGAAATAGCCCCATGTGCTAGAATCAGTGTTGTCGAAAACTAACATGAGGATCATGCAGTGCGTGAAATCGCTTCCGTCACGACAGCTGTCGCACACGGCGACTTGACCAAGAAGATTGAACGACCAGCCAGAGGTGAAATTCTTCAACTTCAGCAAACCATTAACACCATGGTGGATCAGCTGCGAACTTTTGCTTCTGAAGTTACCCGAGTCGCCAGAGACGTCGGGACTGAAGGTATTCTGGGTGGTCAAGCCGATGTTGGGGGTGTGCAGGGCATGTGGAATGATTTGACTGTCAACGTCAATGCCATGGCCAACAATTTGACGACTCAAGTGCGAGACATTATTAAGGTCACCACAGCTGTCGCAAAGGGAGATCTCACCCAGAAGGTGCAGGCCGACTGCAGGGGCGAAATCTTTGAACTCAAGTCTACGATCAACTCAATGGTGGACCAACTCTCTCAATTCGCCAGGGAAGTCACCAAAATTGCGCGAGAAGTCGGTACTGAGGGCCGCCTCGGTGGACAAGCCACTGTACATGATGTTGAAGGAACCTGGAGAGATCTGACGGAGAATGTAAATGGCATGGCCATGAACTTGACAACGCAAGTGCGAGAGATTGCAAAAGTCACCACCGCCGTTGCCAAGGGCGACCTGACCAAGAAAATCGGCGTCGAGGTCAAGGGTGAAATTCTGGAACTAAAGAATACTATTAATCAAATGGTAGATCGTCTGGGCACATTTGCCGTGGAGGTAAGCAAGGTGGCGCGAGAAGTCGGCACGGATGGCACGCTAGGTGGCCAGGCACAAGTCGCCAATGTTGAGGGTAAATGGAAAGATCTCACCGAAAATGTCAACACAATGGCTTCAAACCTGACGGTTCAGGTGAGAAGTATATCTGCTGTCACACAGGCTATTGCGAACGGAGACATGAGTCAAACGATTGACGTGCAAGCCAGTGGGGAAATACAAGTATTAAAAGAAACCATTAACAACATGGTGTCACGACTGTCAAGTTTCTGTTACGAGGTGCAACGAGTCGCCAAGGACGTTGGTGTTGATGGAAAGATGGGTGCTCAAGCTGACGTTGCTGGCCTGAACGGACGATGGAAGGAAATCACCACGGACGTGAACACAATGGCTAGTAACTTGACCACCCAAGTGCGAGCCTTCTCCGATATCACGAATTTAGCGACTGACGGAGACTTTACCAAACTCGTCGACGTCGAAGCGTCTGGCGAAATGGACGAGCTGAAGCGGAAGATCAATCAAATGATTTCAAACCTGCGAGACAGTATTCAGAGAAACACGCAGGCAAGAGAGGCTGCCGAATTGGCCAACAAAACCAAATCTGAATTTTTGGCAAACATGTCTCATGAAATTCGAACGCCCATGAATGGTATTATCGGCATGACTCAACTGACGCTCGACACCGACTTGACGCAGTACCAACGCGAGATGCTCAATATCGTCAACAACCTTGCCAACAGTCTATTGACGATTATCGACGACATCTTGGATCTTTCCAAGATCGAGGCTAGGAGAATGGTGGTTGAAGAGATCCCGTATACGTTGCGAGGAACTGTTTTCAATGCCCTCAAGACTCTGGCCGTCAAGGCAAATGAGAAGTTTTTGGACCTTACCTACAAGGTGGACAGTTCCGTTCCTGACCATGTGATCGGAGACTCGTTCCGTCTTAGGCAGATTATTCTCAACCTTGTGGGCAACGCCATTAAGTTTACAGAGCATGGCGAAGTAAGTCTCACTATCAAAGAGAGGGTGAATCAGCACGAGGTAGGCATGGGAGAGTATGCAATCGAGTTTGTCGTGGAAGATACCGGTATTGGCATAGCCAAGGACAAACTCAATCTCATTTTCGATACATTCCAGCAAGCCGATGGTTCCATGACTCGCAAGTTTGGTGGCACAGGTCTCGGCTTATCCATCTCAAAACGTCTGGTTAACCTCATGGGAGGTGACCTCTGGGTGCTCAGTGAGGCTGGCAAGGGCAGCCAGTTTCATTTTACGTGCAAAGTCAGACTCGCTGCCGACGATACGGAAGGCACCCTTAAACAGCTCAAGCCTTATCGTGGTCACCAGGTTCTGTTTGTCGATAAGGCCCAGTCAGGCTCTGGTGCAGATATCAAGGACATGTTGGAGCAAATTGGGCTGCACCCTGTTGTGGTTGATTCCGAGAAGAGCTCTGCTCTCACCAGGCTCAAGGCGGGCGGCGCATTGCCATATGATGCCATACTTGTCGACTCAATCGACACAGCGAGAAGACTGAGAGCAGTAGATGACTTCAAGTACCTGCCGATCGTTCTCTTGGCACCTATCGTCCATGTCAGTCTGAAATCATGCCTCGATCTAGGTATCACCTCGTACATGACAACACCATGCACGCTGGTCGATCTCGGTAACGGCATGGTACCCGCGCTCGAGAACAGAGCAACCCCATCGTTGGCTGATAATACCAAGTCGTTGGAGATTTTACTCGCCGAGGACAACACTGTGAATCAGCGACTAGCCGTCAAGATTTTAGAGAAATACCATCATGTGGTTACTGTCGTGGGTAATGGGTGGGAGGCTGTCGAAGCTGTCAAGGAGAAGAAGTTTGACGTCATCCTGATGGATGTTCAAATGCCTATCATGGTACGTTGACTGACTTTATTTCCTGGTTTTTTCTTTCCTGCGCCTTGACTTGTCATTATCTTGAAACAAGCTTTGCTAACATAGTGCTCACAGGGGGGATTCGAAGCTACTGGCAAGATCCGAGACTACGAACGTGGTATGGGCACACACAGAACTCCAATCATTGCCTTGACAGCGCACGCCATGATGGGTGATCGTGAGAAGTGTATCCAGGCTCAGATGGACGAGTATCTCTCCAAACCACTACAACAAAATCACCTGATCCAAACTATTCTCAAGTGCGCCACGCTAGGAGGGCCATTATTGGAGAAGAATAGGGAGAGAGAGCTTGCAATTCAGGCCGATGCAAAGTCGAGAAACAGTAAAACAGGGGAACAAGGGTTGCTTCGTCCGGGACTAGAGAACCGGTCCATGACCACGCGAGAACCAGTGGCAAACAAAGAAGGAGAGAGTCCTTCCATCATGTCCACAGAAGAGGACGGCCCCTGGGCTAGGCAGCGACGTGATCTTTCTGACATGCGTAGCATCTCAGGTTAGTTGTGTGTTTTGGTCGCGGTAAAGGCCTTACCACGCTAATTCTGCCAAAAGACTATTGATCTTTGATGTGCGTATGTATTATATCACCATGTCGCCTGGGTGACGTTCCTCTGGGCCACTTTATTATGACTCCTTTCATTGTCTGCATTAGCACCCTCAATTTTATACATGAGCGCGAAAAGCAACAGAAGCCGCTGCATGATTTTGCTGGGACTGGAAAGATGAAAAGAATACTTGCTTAATGCTTCTGATGCTATTTTATCATCTGTACTTTACATTACGGTGTTTTGGGGATGGGGTCCTCTGTCATTGGTCTTTTCTCTTTTTTTTTTTTTTCTTCCTACTCATATGAGATTTTGTTACAATCGTCTCGAATTGGGTTTTTGTTTTGGAAATGCCTCATGTGGTCCGCCGAGGGTATTACTTCACTTGGCTGCCTCGTGGTTGTTGTTTTTCTGATGGAAAACGCTCACTGCTGAAGGGCATCACGTAAAGAAGGGAGCGTTTACTTCAAAATCCTCCTTCCTTTTTCTACGTCACATATTCCCTTTCTTGTTGTTGAGAGAAATTGAAGAAGTGGTGGGGGGGTGGCATAGCGAACCATGAGTTTTGTTATATTGTTTTGTACCTTTTTGGTCCCGCGGAGTCTGAGTGAGCAGGCTGGTTTTTTTATTTTCCAGCCGAGAGAGACGATGGGTTTTCTCTATTATCATATTACTACATGGCGGAGAGGTGTGGGGATCTATACTTAGCGAATATCGAAAGAATACTGAAAGTAGCGCGTGAAGCGCCTTGTCCCGCTCACATTTTGAACGATGAACACGGCGAGTAATTGGAGCAACCATCATAAAGAGGCCTTGAGGCCTGTAAGATGGCTCTTGCTGGCGGTGATTTACTATAAGTTCTATGTATGTATGTCACCTCTACGTATATCATCAAGGACGCCCCAACGCCGAACATGCAAAGCATCCCGCCTCGTCTTCCTCGTGGCTTCTCCAATCCGAGGCCAGGAAGTGCTACTTGCCACTCTCTCCGTCACCCTGTGCCTTGCCCTCGGCACCACTGGCCTTCTCCTCCAACGCCGCCAGCATGGCATCGAGCTTGGACTCGAGATTAGTCAGGTTCGCCTCCAGAGCCGTGGCGGCCTGTTCGCCCCTGCGGCGACGGTTAGTACGGAGGGGGGGGATATCGGACTGGGACAGGTTCTGAGGCCTACTTTACCAGTTCGCGGTATGCCTGGTCCTGGTTAGCAATCGGTTCGATGAGCGACTGAACATACGACGGAAGGGGGGAAAGCGGCGGGTTGATATACCTGAGCGAGATCTGCGGGTTCGCGGTCGCTCCCCTTGCTGGGGGTCTGTTCCTCTGCTGGGGACATTTCGGAAATTTCTTGAGGAGTGATGAATGAGAGCGCACGCGTTTAATTTTTGAGTTGATGCCCTTAGTTACCGGGGTGGGTATGTATTGTTGGCTTTGTTTTGCCTTGAGATGCTCTTGGGTCAACGATCTGTAGATGAGTGGGATTTGAATATGGTCCTCTCACGTGACGTGACTGTTGAGCAGTGGCTCGGATGATTATGGGATTGGGGGACATTGTTCGCAAGGAGTTTTATGGCGGTTTACGTGGACCATCCAAGATTGTTTTCTTGATGAACTGGGAGGTACTCTGAGTATTGATACCTGTCTAGAAATTGGTGCTTTATGTTGATGGGTAACTTGACTTGAGGTGTAGGTTAGCCCGTACCCAGTGATATGTACTATCCGAGTTGAAAGCAGAACTTGTATCTCGCAACAACGCATTGGTTTCTCTAATGTGTGCTGTGAAAGGATATATCGAATCCTCGAGCTAGTCGATGGGCTAGTCTGTCGGTCAGGGCCGTCGTGTGAGGCCGCACATACGGAGTCGTCCACATCTCCATGTTGTTGGCCCGCTTCGTGGAATGCGGCCGGATGATACCTCACTTCCGGAATAAACTCCGGACATGCATATCCGGGGTTCAGTATAAGCAAGACAGAACAAATGTCTGCGCCACGCTGGACCTGATCTACTGTAATCTCCGTGCCGAAGCCATCCGTCCTCTCTGCGTAGGTATTTGCAACGGCTCGATAGGGTCCAACCTGCAGATCATAGCACATGCCACGGCAACATGTTGTTTATGACTGGTAACTTTTCGATGCGTTGACGTTGAAGCTGTTCGCCCATCCCAGCCTACCCTGCACCGGCGCCGGCTAATTACACGCAATATTGCACCACGGCGTCCCGGGCTCCAATACGACGGCCAAACACTACCTACCGAGTATTGACTCGTTAAGCGACGGGCTGCAGGTGAGTTGGAGACAATAGTCACGATAAACGTGACTAGGTACGGAGTGATTGGCGGTGGTTTGTCGGTCGGGCGCGCCCGCGGCCGCCTGAATATGCTCAGAATACTACAGTAACAACACATTCCCCAATGCCCAATCCCCCAGGTTTCAGAGGTTTCAGGCAGAAGAAAATTCTATTGCATGTGCGCATCCGTACTCGGTGCGTATGTCTGTATTGCAGGCCGTGCACTCTGATGCGGGCAGATCCAGTAGCCGCAAAAAGAAACCAAAATCAGGCCATTCCCCCTCCTCGGGAACCAACTAAAATCCAGCCCCATGCAAGACGTTAGACCTGTCGACGTACGGAGACGGAGCAAGTGTGGAAGTGTGGTAGAATAGTATGTTACGGAGTACATGGGCTCTGGGGCCTGGCAAAGCGGCAGTTCAACGCCAAGATTCCCCCAGGAACAGAAGACGTACTATTCGAATAGTATTGCAATTTTCCTGTGCCGAGTCAAGGTACCGCGCCAGTCACCAGGGCATCCATCTCTAACGCAACGCCCCTGACGCCCCCCGCCCACGGGTCTAGAATCCTCGTTGTTGCTGGGATTGCATGGCCAGCGTGTTGTACAATATAGTGGCTCCGACGACCATGCCTCACCTAGAGCAGCACGTAAGGAGTAGTCAGGACCTTGGGTTGGGAATGAGTCCTTGGAGCGTCGAAAGCCCGGGGGGGCCAACCGAATATTTGGCAGTCGAATAATAGGACACACTGAAAAGGCGTGTTCAACGTGACAGGGAAAAGTCGCTGCCAAGTCTTGAATCTGGGTTCCTCGCGGGGCCGGCGGAAAAAATCGAAGGTGCCTTGTGATGAATCTAGACGCGCAAGAATACACAGCCAGTGACGGCAACAGCGACGAGAACTCCGTAGAAGGCACAAAGTTGAGGAGCGCTGGATGTCTACTCCGTACTCCGTACCTATGTACATACGCTCAGATAGAGCAGCCACACCGTAACCGCTTGTCACTGCTTTCGCACCAGACAACCACCGGTCGCTTTGCTGGCCTGTGTTGGCCTACCGCAGTTGCTCAGCAGCACGCCTCTTGGAACCGCCATACACTGGTATCTTTGGTGCGCGTTTGGTCAACTGTAAGCTCTGTACCGAGTATCAGATTAGAGATTAGAGATGGGAGATCTCAGATGACCCAAGCCATCATAGACTGGCAAAAGTGTGCTGACCCAACGGTGACGGTTTGGGCCACCGTTTCCCCCTTTGTGGCTACTGCCAACTAGTGCAGTCTCGTTGAGATCTCCGTTTCGCGCGAGCATCTGGGCTTAGATGATGGGATCGAGATCGCAGGTCTATGTACAAGATATCTCTGATTGTTGGACTAGTCCTCCGTATTACAATGCCATTCACATCCCCATCATGAGAATGCGGTATGAGCAGGGGAGAAACGCCCCCTTTTCTCCCCGTCCCTGGCCACAGGACCAGAACATGATGCCGTTCCCCCGGAGCCATGCTGGATGAGGGCTGCGTTCTGTTTGACACCGGGGCTTTAAGCGCGGTCCGGACGGAGTGCTGCTCCGGCTGACTGAGACATGAGACACGCAAAGCAACACGCCGTGCTCCGTAGTGGCGTTGAATTCTGCGCCAGCATGTTGCCGAAGCTCTGTAAGTTCTGTCGCAACATTTAGGCTCGGGATGCTACTTGATGGAAATCTCAAAGTCGCGGGTGCTTGTTTCATCTTGACAAAGTGGAATCCGAGCTGAAATCCGCCGTACTAGAAAGACCCACGCTCTGCGCGGCTGCCATCGAGATGACCCTCGAGGAATCTCCGTCATCACGTCTGCCTGCTGCTGCGGATCATTGATGTTGAGACGTCTTTCTTTTGGAATACTGCTGCTGTGTAGATAGCAAGGGAGGGGAATACCGTACGAGCAAGCGCAACTTACTGGTAGTAAGGGGGTCTCCGGACCCATAGGTCAATACGGAGTAAACACCATGTGATTATCGCGAGGCATGTTGATGAATAGTATCCATGATTGTGGCCACCGACCACAGGCACCCGAATGCAATCGCCCGTCTACTCCGTCATGGCTCTGGGTAAGGGACGAACCACCCCCTCCCTCACACCCACCCTTTGACTCGTTTCTCGCGTAGTCTCGTGTGTCAACGGAGTCGCAGGTTGCTGATTCCTGATTCCTGATCGATTCACTATCCTCATCATGGGGAAACTGTCAGCGCCATAGCATTTTGTGGCCTGTTGTTGGTGTTCCATGGTTCCATGGCGGCGTGGGGCCCCCTTACCGATGCCTGACTCCCACACGGTGGCTGCGCAAGGGGGGGGGGGGTTGGCATCCAGGCATGGCATGTCTATTTGGCGATGGCTGTTTTGCGATCATCAATAAAAAACATCGATTCTCGCGGATGTCGTCCTTGCGCCAACCCACTGGATTGGGTTCATTCACGCCCGGGCGTAAGGAGACGAATGTGTCTCTGACAAGCCCTGTAGCTTGCGTTGACATCATTGGATCTCATGGCGCAGGGGTACCGACGAGAATCAGGCCAGAGGCTGCGGATGAAATATTTTGCCGTTGCCGAGCCAATCCGAAGTCGCGGCTTTGTGCTTTTGTGGGATGCGGGATCGAGATTTCTCCCATCTGCAGAACCACCACCACGAGCAACGGCACCATCTGCGCGGCAACTCGCCAAGTGCACCAAGGACTCCGTAACTAACCCCCGTAAGTCGAACCGTTCTCCAGACGGAATTCAGTGGTCAGAGGATGGTCATTGTACAATCTCGTCCTCGATTCTCTGGCCAAATGGATTGGGTTGCTTCAGTGGCGTTGGACACTAGCCTTGGTCCGGCTGCCTCAGTACTAGTATTGCCAACACCTAGAACCACGCCCGTCGTCACTCACTTACTTACCTTGCAATGTAGGGCCGTACAGCACTTTGCCTCTCGACTAGTAGTCCCAAGTTCCTTCCCGGGCACCGAGCACCCTCGTGAGCTGAAGAGATGCGCGCACTCCTGCTCGTACGGAGCACAGTAAGACTCCATCTTTAATACACACCTTGACATCGCCCAGACACACAAGTAGATCACGTCGACGCGATCGCGATTGCGATTTCCAACAACATGATCGGATAGTTGACTGGCAATCGCAATCTCCGTGGTTCGCAATGCTCTAGTTCAAAGTATGGGTGTTTTTGCGCCATGCCCGTCTGAACTCAACTTTACGTGGAGCAGCATGGGAACGGCAAGGGTGAGCTTGGGTTGGGTTGATAATGCTCGCTGGCTCAATTCTCCGAGGATAATTCCCAGACAAAGAAAGAAAAAAAAACATGGGCTTTGTCCCATTGCTCCACAGCAAGCCCGCATCCATGGTTGACAAGTGTTCACTATCCGATGCGCCTCAACTCCCCCTTCCCCAAACGGACCTGACTGGGCGGATTGGAACGGAGTACTCCGTATTACAGGCTGGCATATTGTACTGACGCAGCGTGCTTTGCTTGCGTATGTCCGCTTTAAGCGTAAAAGGCATGCCCCCTTCAACATCGGATGACAGGGATGATGGCTTGATTTCTGCACTGGGAAGGCAGTTGGCGACTTCTCTTCTTTGCAATACGTACATAGATACCAGTACTACTAGTACTATCTGTGTGTGAGCCGCCTGCCCGGGAGGCTTGCAAGGCTTGCAAGGCTTGTGAAGTGGCGTGTTGCAATGTAGGATTGTTGGCCCGGGGAGACAGCTTGCAGCGGCATGATGGCCTTGGTGGTTGCGATGGCTGCAAGCCTCAGAGCCTCGTGCGTCGAGCACTGCATCCCAACTATTGAAAGTAGTAGGTGTATTCTGCACTTTGTGCATTTAGAGTACTTGTGGTGGCTACTGTGGTGGTTTCTGTGGTGCCGCCGATCACCACCGTCGTCGTGGTCGTCTTCGTCTCTCCTGCTCAATGGCAGCTTGCTTCGAAATGGGCATCTCGTTTCCCCCTGCGAGGGTCTTTGTTTCCGATCCTCGATGAACGGAAGCCGTGGCATTGGCAATCAAAGACCCCGATGTCTTCTGCGTCATCGGCCACTAGTAGAAAACTGGGGAGGAGGGAGGGCTCTAGCTCTTGAAGTAATTATTAGTATGTACATCATTACATCATACGTCAACGGTTACCAACATGTGGGTGAGGGCCAAGCTGTTGTGACAGGTAGGAGCAGCGTTGAGCAGCCTGGTACCACCAGACAGCAAACAGCTCAATGCTAGCTCCAGATTCTTCAAGTCTCGCGACTCGCAGCCTCTCCGTACTATCCGTGCGACCCGCGGCCAGAATACTACTTTACTTTACGCATGTACTCCGTACTCAAATACTCGACCACCAATATTAGAGGTGGCTAAACGGAGCAACGTGCTGTTGAGTAAATGGCGACCGAGCGTCGAGTACAGAGTACACACTCCCCTTTGCATTGGCACAATCAAAATGGGATCATGAAACGCACAGGATTTTTTGCGATTGCCATTGCGATTGAGATTGCCGCTTGCCACGAGTTGCAAGGGTCCGTCCAACCCGACTTACAAATAATAGTGCCTTGTTTCTTGTCTACTAAGTACACACTGCTACTTTAAGTACCCTAAGTCCTACTTAAGTACTTACTTAAGTAGGTACTCCGTACGTCGTAGTAGCAGAGCCCCAGCCCAGCGGCCGGACATGCTTGGCGCCCATCAGCTTCTCCAACAAAGTCGGCATGAATTGCAACGGCATCTCTAATTACGCGAATGAAAGCTACTTATCCTGGCTGCGTCTGCTATTTTCCTGTTTTCGACTGCCGAGCGCAAGAGCGGCGTAATTCCGCCCTCCAGGTGCTGGCAGCAGCCGACGGGACTCCAGACAACTGCATCTGTTGTTAGTGTAACGAGGCACCCAGGCATGAGAGAGAAGCGAGCATGGACGCCGTATGTGAAGCCGGTTCGTCAAACCATCCGTCGCTCAGGATTTTCGATGGAGAACAGGATCCATCTGGTTTGCGCCTGCTGAGAATCGCCCAATGGTGTTGTGACGCAAAATGTCTGTCAAAACAAAGTAAGAGACAGCTGTGGTCCCACCAAAGTACACCCAGTGTACCTTGTATAGCCACACACCCATCAGGGGGGTCGCCAGCCCATCCGTCCTCATCTCTCTTGGTCGCAGACGGAGTACGAGCCAGAGCAAGCATTCGTCCCTCCGTTCCTCTGCTCTCTCCACTGTGACCAGCGAGTGAGTGGCCTAGACCTTGTCTGCTTTAGTTATCATGGCACTGCTTGTTGAATGTAGAGCTCGTCGGCTTTGAAGAAGCATTTCTCGGGCGCTCAACTATCGTCTCTTCTTGACAGACCTCCCCTCCCGTCCATTTCAACAACCCATTCGTTGGCAATATTTGTTTGCAATCCGCGCTTCAGCTCGAGATTGCGCATATTTATCCTCTTTCGGGCAGAACCTGCCAACCTCTCGAGACACTCCTCCGCAACAACGGCCACTAGGTGGAAAAGGACCACGGCTACGACTGACTTGACAAAAGCAACAAGCGGCCGCTGTACAAGCTCCATCCATACCAGAGTACCTGAGCACTCGAGCACTTGGCCGTTCCCCGAGTACTGTCGTCATCCACCTATCAGCCAGCCTCCTCGGCTCGTACTGACCCAGAGCAAAAGCACCGGTCGATCAGGAGCACACACAGTCCTGCATCTATCCCTCATCGTCATTGTATGCATCATTGCCCACCTCATTCACACACTAGCATGCCGGATCTCGTCCAAGGTGCTGTGTCTGCGACCTTCATCTAGCCTGCCCATCCTCGACAGAACGTCTTATCCTCGTCTCCTCGTCCTCTGCCCTTGCAACCTCGCTCGGCTCCCTGCACCCGTGCCATTTCGATATCGTCAATCTTGTCCCTTTCGACGACCTGCTGTTAATATTCGATCACCATTCCACATCGTTGGCCCAGGTGTCAAGCCCAGAGCCTCATTGGCCTTGAATACTCATCGTGCCACGTCGACTTTCCTATCTGTTGACAACTTGGTCCCTGTTCATCATCAGGTTTTGCTGGACCGAAATACCCAATCTCGACGCAGCGCGCATCCACACCCTTGTTTCCTATTCAAGGCTTTGTAACTAGTGTTTTTCATCTCGACAGAACTGCTCTGGAATTTCACGACATTCTGTGTCGGCACATCCTATCCTAGATTGGTATACCATCGGTCGATATATTTGAAGGTCTTCTGACCAACGTACAACTGCCCAGCCTATATTTAGATGATGACCACTTGGCCATATCGAAACCTAAACCTGAATCTTTTATGTCTTGGACAAGACCGCACTTTGGATTTGGTCTGAAATCAGGCTGTATGACTCAAGAACTGGAACGAATTTTCGCAGACTTGGGCTTGTCCCAATATCTCAATGCATTTATTGACCAAGGCTTTGATGCTTGGGACACTATTCTTGATATCCAAGAGTCTGACCTGTGAGCGACGACGACAAAACCACATAGTTGTAAAACCAACCTCGAATGTTAGTCTGCTGACAGTTGCCAACAGAGATGCCCTGGGTGTCAAATTAGGCCATCGAAGAGTAAGTGCACGCTGACATGCCACCCTGATTTCTTGACAAGGTGACTAATGATCTGTGTCACAGAAGTTGCAACGGCGTATCGCAAATGCGAGGGGGATTGCGCCTAGTGTATCATTGAGCTCGTCTGTTAAGCCGGGATCCGATGAATCAAAGCAAGACGAGGTGAAGCGAGATTCGTCCCGAACTGTCGCCGAGTCCAATGGCGTCACCAAGAGGAAATACCGACGGCATCCCAAGGTGAGTAAAAAAACCGAATCTCTGTACGTGCGGCTCTCTAAGCTGACATTGTGATACAGCCAGATGAAAATTCCCCCGAGAGACCGCCGTCGGCATATGTTTTGTTCTCAAACAGTAGGCCCCTTTCTGATGCTAAATCGTAACCATGTGGCAGGGGCTGACTGTATATTTCCTTGTAGGAATGAGAGAAACCCTCAAAGACCACAATCTCACATTCACAGAGATTGCTAAGTTAGTAGGAGAAAACTGGCAGAGCCTCCAACCTGAAGAAAAGGACGTTTTTGAGAGCCAGGCCAATGCCGCGAAAGAGAAATATAATCGAGAATTGACAGAATACAAGAAGACCCCGGAATATCGCAAGTATTCGCAGTATCTCCATGACTTCAAAGAGAGACAGGCCAAGCAATATAAAGGTAAGTTGAGTTCTCCCCTACACTGGCTTACGGAATTCCCTATTTGAGAAGGTATGATGAGGAAAAGAAACTGATTTTAACAAGGGCAAGATGGTTCGAAGAGAGCCAAGGTTGAGCCTGCCAGACTGCGTCATGGTAGTACGAGTAGCAGTGCAACACCAAACACCACAAACTCCAGCGCCAGTGGTAGCAACAGCGAGCGCCTTCGGGGTAGTGAACCGCCACCAACACGACGAGAATGTGTAGATTCCACAACATCGCTTGCCGAATCGCCTCATTCTTCGGCTGCACCAACGCCAATGTCGGCCCAGAATTCGTATGATGACGCTGGACCATCTCCACGGGCAATGCAGTTCGATAACGGGAGCCCAACAGATGCTCATCAGCCTTCCCGGCATCAGCCCACGATGCGTGGGAGAGGTCGGGCTGATTCAATGCAACAACACCTGCCATCCCTTTCCGACATGTTAGATGCTAGACAAAAGGCGATTGTTCACCCGGTTGCTGACGGGCTCTCGTACCCTAGTCGACCAGCAAATAGCTCCACGCGTACGTCTCTTGATAGTGCATCTCTTCTCTCTGCGGGGCGAACTCCTACCTTGAGGCACGAGTCCTCATCGAATGGCACAAATATATCAGGCAGTTCGATGGGGAGTTTTGGTCGACCACCGGGGGAAGGTCCGTTACCAATTCATGCTTTGCTCTCGGATCGCACCTTGGTTGGATCTTCAGTCCATGAACAACAACCCAACCCAATTCTTAACGGCGCTACTGGTCCCATGAATACGCAGCAGTCTCTCGTTGGCTTTGCCCATGGTCCCAGCGGTTATGGTACATACTTTTCTTGACTTCCCAGAATCGTCAGATACGCCAACTAACTGTGGTCTGCAAGGCTTTCAATCCGACTCATCGCCGTTCCATCACATGAGGGTCGAACAGTCGAGTGAAGGAGACGTGGTCATGACAACTGATGAGACGCTGGCGCCACAAAGGCAATCTCGCGGAACAAAGGATAACCTCGACGGTATGAATGCTCTATTGCGAGCTGGCGAAATTGTTGGACGTGGTGAGCGGCGGTAATGCCAGGCCCGGTTTGCGATTCCTGACCAGAGTTTGTTTCGACCATGTCTCAAACGAGCTCTGAAGCGACAATTCGACACGAAAAGGTTCTTTTTTATGTTTTAGAGGCGAATGATGGAGTGTTTCGTCTTTTGTCAGATGGAGTGCTTTGCTTCACAAGTTTGATTTGGAGAACATTGGTGATACCCTCGAATCTTCAACGGCTGCGGCTATGTCATGAATATGAATGACTTAAGGTTCCTTGTTTTTTTATTTTTTTTTTTAATTTTTGTTTTTTTGAATGACATATTTGCCGATTGGTGAATTCCCTGGGCAAATTATGGCCGGCGTTGAGGCGAAGGGCGGAAATTGTGAACTAATGTCTGTTGACGGAGGATGTATGCACAGCGAAAGAAGAAAATTTGTTTGAACAACCGGAAGCGAAGGGTTTTCTGGATAATTGCGAGAGGAATAGGATACATGAACGCGGGACACATAGACCTGAGGCTCAAGATGAATGAAGGATACGACGGAGAAGGAGAAACGTGCAGGATGTGTTGTGGAAGGCACTCGAGTCGCAAGACCGTCAAGATCAAACTGTACATGTCAGCCAGAACAACAAGGTTGGTAAAATTCGACGCGCAATGTTTTTGATACGTTGCAGCGGTCCTAGTATGTTAAGAAAAGTAATGCCGACATAACCATCAAGTTTGGTTCGAGTCTTAAATGCCATGAATGGAAGGTGCTTCCACCATGTCGTGGAGACAAGCGGTCACGTCGGCGAGGAGCATGGGATGGAAGAACCATGGCGGCGCTTGCGGTCAAAACTAGCAAATGACTTGTAAAAGCCCATGGTGATGGAAGGGATGGAATGGGCTTTGACAAAGACGAAGCTGCACAGGTAACGCAGAATGACGTGAAAGAGAAGAAGCAGATTTCAACCCAGAAGCTCGGCCCAAGCGACGCAATGCTCCTGATAATGAAGAAGCTTGAATGCCAAGGGTCTTTGAACAATAATAACCCACCCATCCACAGCTAGAGGGCAGGGCTTAGTGCAGAAAAGAGGGAGATATGGCCAATCACAGGCCAGGGGGGCCTCAAGAGCCGGAGACTTTACTCCAAAGGTGGGGGGTTCCTGCCATGACACACAATGACCCTGGATTTCAACATGGGATTTTGACAGATTCCCATGTTTTTCGAACACGACATGGGCTGCCGGCGAGGTGTGGGATTGATTACGTCGCCTGTCGCGCGGCTGGGAGTGGGACGGAAAGATGTGACGGGAGATTACGACACGCTCTTGTAGTTTGGCCCAAGCATTTATTATGTCGGAGACGGAGTAGAGAGCATAACAAATCGTTCTGCCCATCTTCATTTTTTACTGCTCATTATGGCCGCTGCATTTCCACAGCTGGTGACTTCTGCAACATCCACCTGGTCGCCTGTTTAACATATGAACCGAGCAGGTGCTCTCATCAACTTTTTCTAGACCACCTGAAGACTAATTCGTGCGCTATATTCTACCATCGTATGCAAAATAGTCTTGTGCTACCCGCTGGCGTTAAACTTGATCCCACGAACACCCCTCTGCACTTATCACCGCACGTTGGTAACCAGTGTCGAGAGTCCAAGATGCAAACTATATCCACGTAATAATTGCAATATATATAAGAACCCGTGCCTGCCCATCCAATTCATACACATTTCCTCATTAATTACCGGTGACACGTCCCCAAACACCGTTTTACTCGCCACCCTCGCTTACCTTGGCTGTCCAGTCCTTCCGAATCTTCAGCTCTTCCAGGTTTTCTGATTTATCAATCACAAGACCTTTTTCGTTTGCCAAGTGCAGCAGGGAGATAAAGCAGTATGAAGTTGATATGTCATTCATGGCAGACTTGGGGTATACTGATTTCAGGCCATTCATAACCTCAGTAAAGTTGAGAGTTGGGTCGTCTTCTGGAGGCAGCGGCTTCTCTTCTGCTTCAGAAGAAGCTGTCATTGACGTTCTCTCCTCGGGCGGGATCTGTAGGGTCGTTAGTACCAAGAAACCGACGACTTTCCATTTTTCCAACAGCTACCAGGAGCGAGCACTCACGTCGATCTGGTCAAAGGCCATGCCTTTCCAGATTTCCTTCATCAGGCGCCGTACATCAACCTTTGTGGCTTTACGCGCGTAATTGACGTATTCTGGCCTTATCCTTCTTGTCGAAGTCACGAGGGTGTGACCAAACGCCGCATTTGTGAATGTCTCTCCTCCTAACATGGCAGTGATACCTCCAGCTTCCGTCATGCCTGGATCCCCATCGGGTGATAAGTGCTCACGAGCATCAGCAAACTCAAGATCGTCGTCATCTGCGTCATCACCTCCTGGGAAAGGCAAGCCATCGTCCTGGAAGAAGTTGGCATCGTAGTCGCCTTCAGGGAGTGCCGTGTCCTCGGGGCCCTTTTGTTTTGCCCAGAAAGCCTCATCCATTTCAATCTGTTGGTTGTCATCCTTCTGATCCTGCCCGTAGCCCATCCGTGGGCCAAACCCACCCACAATTCGGCGGGCTGATAATCGGGCTTTCGGTTTTAGGAAGAGACTCAAAAGTGACTTGGAATTGAAATGTTTGTCATCAGGAAGCAGATTCCTCGACTTCGACTTCCAGTCCTTCTTTGGCATACTGATCACTGAGTTGCTAGAAGCTGGTGTATGGATTATGTTTGCCATGGTTGACTCAAGCGGTGAAGCAAAATCAATCTCAAACGGCTCCTTCTCTTTGCGTTTTTTTGTCTCGCCGGCTGGCTTATTAGCGTCCTTGATCTTACGTATTCGCCAATGTTCCGCGCTGCTCCAGTTCTTCTGTAAAGCTTGATCGAAGAATCCAAGAATATCCTCATGCATCTTATCAGCATTTCGAGGCTTAACCATGGACACGATGTATTCGCCGTTGTCGTCGAAACCGTCCCCGTCCACACCATCGTCGCCCATCTCTGCATCGTATATTCTCATTTGCGGTGCGAGGGCCGCATCACGGGCCCAAGCCTCGCCACCTTCGCCGAACGCAACATCGCCGCCAATGTCGAAGCTGCCAAGGCCTAAGTCGTCATCGTCGAATTCGATGGGAGCGTCGTCGTCAATAAGCATGCCAGAATGATCTCCCGCCGCGTGATTCTTGTCCTGGTCTCTCCAGTCATCCGGGGCTCTCAAGAAAGGGATATCCATAGAGCCTGATGAATCTCCGAGATCAAAGTTCTTGAGAGACGGGCACACATCCAGCCCATCAAGTTGGCTCAGACTGGGCAAAAACTTCTGGCCCAGAGATACAAGATCAATTTCGACCGTTGGCTCCTCATCTTCCTTTGAACTTTCTTCTCCTAACCGCTCCTCGAGCTGCGCAGTAATATCAGCTTCGTCAGTATCTGGGTCTGCGTCTTCCATTTCGTCATTCTTCTCCATGGGGGCAACATCGCCGGAATCGTCACTGCTATCGAAAACAATCCGCCCTTGAGAGTCGATCATTAGATGGTTAAGTAGCAAGCCCTTGGCACCACCCTCGTCAAAATCCGCCGATGCCTTTTTGAAAAGAGGATCGACAGTAAATTCAAGCTCAAACTTCTTCAGCTGTAGCGCGCTGAATGAGGGAGCCAGCGTAGCCTCTGATGATCTTTGTGTCTGAGTGATGCACGCATTAGTAACGGGCCAATAGGAAGGACCGCATGTTTTACCTTCTTCTTGGACTTCTTTTTAGGGTTGCCGTCCTCATCCAACTCGTCCTCGCTTTCGTCCCCTTCTGCGTCTTCGCCATCTCGCCCTTTCTTCTTGCTGCTGCTATCAGCCAGGCCGCTCAGCAGCTTGCCAGTTTCGGTAGCGACACTGTCGACTCGGTTTGTGTAAATCTTGACACACCCATCTAAAGTGCAGCTGGCTTTTTGGAAATTGACACCATCACCTTCCTTCAATAAAGACATGTCGTGGAAGTAGTCGATTAAGGCGAAGTTCCATGAGTTGGTTGCGTTGATTTTGTTATCTGTTGCCATCTTCATCCATTCTTCGAAGTTGGCGAGAATCGGAACCCGCTTGATAGGCGTCACCGATACACCTCCTACCATGACTTCTTCAGTGATTTCGCCTATCCGCCCCCCTCGAGGCGTACCGAGGGCCGAGCCTGGCGACGCATTTTCGATATCATCCAGCCTCAAGCTGGCTTTCCGGGGCGTCGCCGCTGCCTTGATCTCATTGATCTGTTTTTCGTGTAGGGCTTTTCTTGAATGCATTCGCTGACCTCGCTCATGCGCATCGTCGTTTAAAGGGATTCTAACCAACACATTTGTAAGACAACATGGCTTGCCAACATATGCGCAAACGCGAAGTAGTATCACCGCGGTTCTGTGATGAGGGGGTGGTATCTGGAGCTTCGACGACGAGAGACGGAAAGAGCGTACTTTACAGGAGATTTGAAAGGGGATGCTGACAAGGAATCAGATGCAGTCGTCGGTTTGACGCCTCTGGCGCGTGGGACTTGGGCAACCCGAGGCATTTCCTGGTGTTGTTGTGCAGTGAAATGCAGAGGTGCGTTTGATTATGACTGGTGTCGCGTCCTGGTTCGTGCAGCTGCACCAAAGTAAACAAAATGCCTAATCGGCTGGCAGGACACAAGGATGCCCGTTTTCCTGTGTTTTGATCTGTGGATCTAGGCGGTCATTCGTGGAACGGTTGTGTGAAAGACCCACTGTGGTTGAACGCCTGGCACGTGATACGACCAGGTCATGGTGCATCAGGTCCGTTGCGCGGGAGGTTTCAGTGCTGCTACGGGGTAGACTTTGCGTTGTACGGATTGCTGAGGGGACGCGGCAAAGGCCCCTTTGCGTTCATATGTACTTTATGCAGGTACAGAGGACAAGGCGAGCTAGGAGACCGGGCGTGGTGGTGAATGCTCGCTTGTATGTACATGTACTAGCATACAAACCCTCACATGCCAAGCAGAGATGGCCTAACATGCAGCGGAGACCATTACACTATTGATGGAGTACTCCATATGAATGAACATAACTATCCCTACCTCAACATGTACGTACTCCATAAAACTTAGCGTGGACATCGTTCGTCTATCCATTTAGTACTACTAATAGTTATTCGGCAAAGTAGGTAGCCATGAGGGCCAACGGGCCCTGTCGTGTGGCAATCAATCAGTGTCGGGAGTAGCAGATACATAGAGGTTTGTCTTGAGACACCCGGGTTCATCCGTTGGTTCGGGTTTGGCCAATTCGTCCATGAAGAACATGACAAGAAGAGAGCGAATGATGGTGGATGGCTGGTTTGAGCAATGTGTCAGTTTGTGTGTCCTGTGTGATTGATGCCAGGATTTCCAAGCTTGCGTCGACATATTCCCTGACAGAGGCTGTCACTAAACTATTTTCGTTCAACGTTGGTCCAAGCACCGGCGACGGTTTACCAAGTTCTGTGGCTTCGGTTTAGACAGAGAGTGGACACTTTTGAAGAGCTGTTGCCCCATCCTCAGCCCGGGGTTACGTAGTGGACAACGGTTTTGTAAAAGCTGTTCAGTTCTCCTCTATTACGGAGTACTCGAGGGCCTACGGAGTAGAAGACATGATATTTATTACTCGGTGCTGCAGTGGGTTCATTTGTCTGGTGTCGCTTGTTGCTGAAGGTTTCTTGATTGTCTCCCCCCAATCCGATGGCGCGGTTGACCACATGTCTGTCTCCCTGTGGTCATCTTGTTGCAGAAGGCGAAAGGCGTCGTAACAGTGGCGGCAGCTCGGGCTGGCATTGGGGACCAGCTGACAAAAGCGGCGTAGCACAAGGGCCGCCGAGGCAGCAGGTCGGAGGTCGGAGGAGAAAGAGAAGGAGAAGGTGGTGGTGGAGGTGGTGGTGAGCGAGTGGTGAGAAAGACCCCGACACCTGGAAACTTTATCCGAATGTAGATAGAGTATTGTGCATGGTGGACTCGTCGGCTCGGCTGCTGGAGTGGAGAGGTCAAGTGGCCATCCAATCATGCCACCAGCTGCGATTAAATCCGGGTTGCCTCCCAGACCTGGCAGTCGGGGGCCAATTGCATCCCAACTCCCTGCCTTGACGGCACCGCGTTTGCATAGAATAGCGCACCAAGTTCCCGGATCTTCTCATTTGAGGTCGTCATTCATTGCCAATGTCTCTGTAGACCTGATCTTCCTCTCTTCACCTGTCTTTGTCTCTTTTTTGCGCCCAACTGACGACTTGAGCCGCTGCATCGAGGACACAGGACAGGCCCAGCGATATGAAGACGATTCTAAAATGCAGCCAACCGAAGCCAGAGGGAGCCGACTGCGCTCCCGTCCTTTCATCGCCACCGTTGTTGTTCTAAGTGCGTTGACCGCATACTCGGTCCTGCTCCAGACTCATCGCCATGCAAGGCCCGAACTGCGACGGGATCACCAGGCCGCTCTGTTTCAACGGGCCAAGGAACCCGAGTGCGGCGACGTACACTCTGCCGCGGATCAGTGTGCTTTCGTGAGGAAATATTGTCTGGATGAGGATGCCGGCCTATTGCCATATCTCGAGTGGTACTTTTGTGCTTTTAATGGCATAAAACCCATTGGATTCACTCTACTCGTTATCTGGCTTGGACTACTGTTTACCACCATTGGGATTGCCGCCAGCGACTTCTTCAGCATCAATTTGAGCACCATTGCGGCCATTCTTGGGCTCAGCGAAAGCCTCGCGGGTGTCACTTTTCTCGCTTTTGGCAATGGCTCCCCTGACGTGTTCAGCACATTTGCCGCCATGAGCTCCAATAGTCCTAGCATGGCCGTCGGTGAGCTCCTCGGCGCGGCCTGCTTTATTACTGGCGTCGTTGCTGGTTCCATGGCCCTTGTGCGCGAATTTCGTGTGGACAGAAAAACATATGTAAGAGATATCGGCTTCTTCATCGTGGCGGTGGCATTTTCAATGGCTTTTCTAGCGGATGGTCAGCTGCGTTTTTGGGAATGCTGGGCCATGGTGGGCTACTACGCCGTCTACGTCGTCTCCGTGGTAGGTTGGCATTGGTACTCGACCAGGAGGAAGCGGCGGTTGCGCCGTGAAGGCGAGGCACGCAGCCATTACTACAGCATACCGGGACATGCTGGAGATGAACTTTTTGGTGAGCCCTATCGCGATGAGCCGGAAAACCCCCAGGACGACGTTGGGGATGATTCTCGCAGCGGTTCGGCGAGGGCCGATATTTCGGCCCTGGAGCGAGCTCCAAGGATCGACATTGAAAACCGAGACCAAGACAGTGACCGGGGCGGATCCCTTGACGATGGCAGCGATGAGGACCACGAGAGAATGGTGGCTGCTGAGGTGTCAAGGAGCATGCGAGTTTTGCGAACAGGGAGAACAAAGTCAATCAACTTGACCCCAATCCGTCCAAGTTTGGTTGGCGCCTTGGAATTTCGATCGGCTTTGGCCCAGCTACAGCGAGAGAGTAACCTTCAGCTCTCAGATATTCCTGGACGGACTTATTCAGATCATCCAACAGGGCGGGATAGGAGGGGCACAACCAGTGTGGTACCGGATTCGGGGCTTTGGGAAACTGCGTCAACACCCGGGGTTTCCAGTCGTGAGAGAGCTTTCTCATATGGTGCGAGAGCACCACTGTCTGCCCCTCTTCCTATTTCAGAGGATGAAGAGACTTCTAGCGAATCGAGCGCGAACCTGAGCCCTGGACATGCCACTCCGGCTCACGGCGCGACTCCTTCGACAGCATATGTCGTTGGTGGGAACTTGGCGCCACCTCCTGTTGGACCTTCCGGCGCTATCGAAACTGGAAGGCCGAGTTCAGGCGCCCATGGGCATAGCAAGCAACCCAGTGGTTTGCGTTTGATTATACCTAGCAGACGCAGCAGCTATAGCGACGAATCTTCGCCATCATCTCCTTTCCCCCGCTATGCAGATTCACCCTCGGCTATGACACCAAGCCAACACCTAGAGAGGACGGAGTTTATGTTACCGCCGCCTGTAGCGCCGCACCGAGATGGTCACTTTCCAGACATGTCAGGGTCTATTATAGTACGCCGACGACCGATACACTGGTGGCCATATGCGCTTCTGCCACCACCCGACGTTGTTCTAGCCACCCTCTTTCCGACCTTGCAGGCCTGGGGTGAGAAGACTATCTGGGACAAGTTCTTGAGCACCATATCGGTACCAAGCATCTTTTTGCTTGTAATTACGCTACCAGTTGTGGAGTCCGAGACAAACGAAAGCTCGGTGGATGACCTAACTGTTATGGAGAGTTCTGGTAGGCGGGAACTGGGCCATGAGACGCAGTCTTCTCCTATGGAACCGCAGCTTATTGAACCGGAAGGCGAATGGGAGCGATACCGAAGGCATTCGCTAAGTCGCAGCCGTAGGAACAGCCTCGCAACTGTCGAAGATCGCTCACCGCGATTGGTCGTCACTCTCGAAAACGAAGACACCGTGGTTACTCCGGAAGTGGAAGCAACGAATGGTCAGACGGTAGCAAAGCCACTGTCCGACATGCCGTCTGTTAGCAACGCAAATGACGAGCTGTCGACATGGAACCGGTGGCTCGTGTGTGTGCAATTTGTTACTGGACCGCTCTTTGCCGTGATGATACTATGGGCGAATATGGCGGAAGATTTTTCGAACCCGGGGAAAGTGCTTGTGAAGATGATCTTGTACACTCTCCTCGGGTCACTTATCCTTTTGGCGTTCCTCTTTCTGTTCACGTCGGATCATAAGCGGCCGAAATATCACTTCCTTCTCTGTTTCCTTGGGTTCATTATTAGCATTGCATGGATCTCAACAATTGCTGGGGAGGTGGTTGGGGTTTTGAAGACATTTGGCGTCGTTTTGAATATCTCAGAGGCGCTGCTTGGCCTGACCATTTTTGCGGCTGGCAACAGTGTGGGTGATTTAGTTGCTGATATCACGGTGGCGCGATTGGGCTATCCCGTGATGGCATTGTAAGTTGCACTCAACTGACGGTCAAGACGATATTGCAGGCTGTTTAGCACTCACTGACACGACGCCCCCCAGGTCTGCATGCTTCGGAGGGCCAATGCTCAACATATTGCTTGGTATTGGTATCGGCGGTGTTCTCATGATGGTCCAAAACGCCAACAAGAAACACGCCAAGCACCCGGAGCGACCCATCCAATACGGCCCTTACAGCGTGAAAGTAGGACCGACGCTCATGATCTCGTCCGTCACGCTTCTCATAACACTGGTGCTACTATTAATCATCGTGCCATTGAATAAATGGATACTGAGCCGCAAGATCGGGTGTGGATTGATTGCGCTCTGGACATTGAGCACAATTGCCAATGTCGTGGTGGAAGTAACGGGGGTGTGGCAGGAATCATGAATTTCAGGTGGCGGGATGCGGGGCCCTAATTGCATTGGCGTTGAACGTGTTTTCAATTCTCCCGTCGTGTTTTTTCTTCTTCTATTCTATTCTCGGTTCCCTATGGACCTTGTAGCATGAACGATTGTATCGACACGAAAATCTGGGGCTCCTGGACAGCTGATGGGAAACATCAACGGCAGCATACATTCGGCGTATACTATATATTGACATTGGTTATTTGAAGCCGTACAAACAGCATACTTAGGTAGGAAAACACAGCACAGCTTGTCCTAATGTTGCCTCACGACTCACGAGCCACGACGTCCTGCTGATCCGTGCCTGAGTTCGGGAGCAACCGAGTCACAGACTCACCACGGACCAACCAGGGTCGTTTGTCATGTGCCACCAGAGCCCCACCTAACGATCGGCTTCGTTGATCCCACGGTCGCAAACGAAAACGTGTCTGGCTGGTCCTTGGCAATTTAGAGAACAGTCATATCTGCGGAATAAAGTTTGAAACACGTCAATCATTCCGTGAGATGCATGCAGCCTATGAGAATAAGGAAACGACAGTTGGTGGCGCAGTCGCCAGGGACGGAAATTAGTGCAACTTTCATGGAAACTGTCCTCAGGGCTTGACGCTATCGGCCATTAGGCTACGAAGAGGAGAAAAGAACAGCTGGCTTGATCAAGGGGAATTATAAAAGGGCAAGATGACTTTAGAAAAATGCCGCCAAACTCGAGCCAATTGACCTCAAGTGTGCAGTGTGCATCCAGCGAGGCGGGTTTTCCTTGTAACTACTCCGTACCAGACCCAAGTACAATCAAGTACGTGGTAGGTTCTCCATCCCTCGTCTTGAATGTTCAATGTTGTTTTTTGCCTGACCGCCCGCCCCTCACTAGCTCTCGACAGCTTTGCCCCTCCCCCTCTTGACCCCACGTCCAAGATCCCCTGAGCAGCGCAACACCGCCCTCACCGAGACTCGTCCATCTTTCCGCCGCCTCCATTGAAGGATTTCCAGCAAATCCAAAACACAAAAGCCATGGCCGCTACAAAGCCCAGCTACCCCCCCCTCGAGGAGCGTCCGCTCAAGGACACAATCTGCCTGTTTGACGTGGACGGGACCCTGACGCCCGCCCGCCTGGTACGCGACTCCTAAAGCTCCCCCCTCCCCGAAAAACAAAAGATGATCTACGCACAGCACGCTGAAACGAGTACATTTTTTTTTCCCTGAAAAAAGGACGCATCACCCGAGATCCTCTCCACGCTCGCCGCCCTCCGGCAGAAATGCGCCATCGGCTTCGTCGGCGGCTCCGACCTCAACAAGCAGCAAGAGCAAATCGGCAAGCCGGCAGGCAACGTGCCCGTCACGACGCTCTTCGACTTCTGCTTCGCCGAGAACGGCCTGACGGCGTACAAGCTGGGCCAGGCGCTGCCGTCCAACAGCTTCATCAAGTGGATCGGCGAGGACAAGTACAAGCAGCTCGTCAACTTCATCCTGCACCACGTGGCGGACCTCGACATCCCCGTCAAGCGCGGCACCTTTGTCGAGTTCCGCAACGGCATGATCAACGTGTCCCCCGTCGGGAGGAACGCCACCACCCAGGAGAGGAACGACTTCGAGGCCTTTGACAAGGGCGCCGGCGTGAGGAGGGCCTTTGTCCGGGCCCTGAAGGAAAAGTTCCCCGACCTCGACCTGACCTACTCCATCGGCGGGCAGATCTCCTTCGACGTCTTCCCCGCCGGCTGGGACAAGACGTACTGCCTCAAGCACCTCGAGGCCGAGGCCCAGAAGCCCGGCGGCGTCGCGTACAAGAATATCCACTTCTTTGGCGACAAGGCGTTTGAGGGCGGCAACGACTGGGAGATTTACTCTGACCCCAGGACTATTGGCCATGCCGTCAAGTCCCCCGAGGACACTATCCGCATTTTGAAGGAGACTTTTGGACTCTAGACACGCTCGGGGGTCGCCGCGAGGATATGACGGAAACGCAAAACACAGGGGGGAGGGGGAGAACCATCTGGCAGTCTATACGTGCCCAGATACTAGCACGGGACTTCAAAAGTGGGCAGGGTTTCAATTTCGGTTACAGCCGAGATCAGTGTGAAAATAGGGGGTGAAGAAAATTACTGCCTGCCTACTTTACTTGATATACGACATAGTAGTACTGCAAGCTCGACAAAAAAACAAAAAAACAAAAAAATTCAGTCTAGCAAATTCAACGCTAAATGACGCCATGCTGGCAAAACAAAAGAATGTCAAATATCCAATAACCCCCCCTCCTCCCCTTAAAAAGTACCATGAGAGACAAGAGATGTATGTGAAATCGTCAAAGTTTACTCCCATCACATCGTATCCTCACTTTCTATTGCCAAAGACATATATTACCTCCCATACTCAAGATGGGGAATAATCACTGGTCCGTACTTGGTAGTTGCAGTGTACGCCCCATCGCCCTGGACAACAAAGTCCACGGCTAGACTGAGTTTCGACAAGCCCTGCTGGCTGCTGCTGATACTGGGGTTAGGACTAAATGGGACTTGATTGACCGCTTCTTGGTCATATGCCAGGAAGGTGACGTAGTTCCTGCGACCCATCAACTTCTTCAACTCGCGACTGGCACCGCTAGCGTCCGTGTGAAAGATTTCCATCATGTCTTCTTTGGTATCCGACACTTCGTGCGTGGATTTCTGTCCATTCTTTGGAACGTAGAGCGTCTTTTGGTTGTGCAGAAGCTTTAGGATATAGCCGCCCTGTGGTGCCGAGACGATGGGAGACGAGATGATCTGGTACATGGTCTTGTGATCACCGGGGTGAGTGGGATCGTGGACGAGGCCTGCGCCTGAAGCCGCGACATCTGCTTTCTGTTAGTCTGGCCTCAACTATCGGGTGTTGATTGTCATGGACAAGAGTAAAAAAAACTTACCACCTGACAAAAAGGTCATTCGGATGCCCTTTTGCTGGGCGATGCTCTGCAGAGTGCGGATAAAGTAGGTTCGCTCCAAGTCTTTGGTGTCATGAGTCCACAAGTCCTTCAACACCTCTTGAATGTCCAGTTCACCAAACTGGTTCAAGACGTTGCCCATGAGGCCCGTCTTGCCGACTGCCTTTTTGACCTGCGAGAAGCCCTGAGACACAACTTCCTTACCACCAACAACGCCGGCGACGGAGCTGGTGACTTTTCCAAGAATGTTGTATGTAGTGTTTACAGCCTTTTTACCAGCTGCAACTGTATTGGCTAAACTCTCCACAGCGTCCAATCTCGGGTAGACAATAGGCACCGAAACCATCCATACCACATGCTGAACGCTTGGAGGCAGGGTTGCAACTTTGGGGAATATCCCTTGGTAGGTTGGGCCGGCCATGACACGAGCCTGTGTCCGTTCGGATCGACAATCTGGTCCGACAACCGCCATTGCCGGACCAAGATACTTGACAAAATGCCAGCCAGTGCCGGTAATTGTGAAGATGTCGTTATCTGTTCTGATGTTTCGCATCATCTCTGTAGTCGTGTGGTGCTGAAATAGGAGGTACATTTCCGTCGCGATGCGCCCAATGTTCTTAAATATGGGCGAGGACTGCATGTAGTCGGGATATGAGCCATATCCATCGAAGCTGAATCTTGTTAGGTCAAATGCTCGCATCACCCATATTTTGGGCTTTACTTACATGTCGTGGTCATTGATTTGCAGAACGTGTGGGATCTGAGCGAACGCCTCCCTCATAAATGGTTGGTCAAAGTGGCTTGTATAGAAGTGGAAATATGCATGGGCAACATCCTCCTCGTGCCGAGCGGTCCATTGTACATTTTTCTTGTTGTCCCTGCCGCTCATTGCCAACCACTGCTTTAGTAGCGGAACCTCTCTCCATAATCTATCGCCGTAGATCTGATCACCAAGCCCGAGTTGGACATGAAAGCCACCGCAGTCTACATTCTTCTGCAAAACATCTTTCCACATGAAACCAACACCGCCGAGGCGCGCCCTTTCATTCTGGGAAGTCCCAGATGCGAAGTCATTTCCAGAGTGGGCAATGAAGCGCCAGCCAGTTTCGTATCGACCTGCAACGACGAACTCGTATCGTGTACAGCCCAGGTGAGAAGTCACAGCATAAGTCCACCGTTCTGTACCAGATTCACTCATTTGCAAATCAATGTCATACTTGTAAAATGTCCATCGCTGGTGAGTATAGATGTTACGTGGTTCAAGTTGTTTCGGGTTTGGCGAGAGATCTACGCTCAGATGGATATGAATGGTTGGTGGCTGATGAGCATCTGTGACGATGAGAATGCTACCACGCCACACTCCATTCTCAATGTCCATGTTGACATATCGCAAATAGGGACCGAAATAGACACCATTGGTGGGTTGAATCCTGTACATTTCCACTCCTGAGCCAGGTGGCGGGCCGGAAAACCCAACAGCAGTAGGAGTCTGGGAAGCGACGCTCATGATGCTCTCAGCATAACCTGGCGTGTGTGGAGGAAACATGGGCGAAGCCATGGATTGCTTGCCAAACATGGGTGATGTTAATGGATTCCCGTATGTAGAAGCCGTCGGCGAAAGTGGCGTCTGTTCATGTGAGATTGGATTAGGACCTTTGGGGAACTCCCATTGAGTTGCCTGTGTTGCAAGGTGAATATAGTAGTACTGCCCAGAGTTCTGATCCAAGTGAGCAATCCAGCCTTCTGGCATTGGCGGAGGCGAAGCTGGCGTCTGGGTTTGAAGAGATATACTAGGAGCAGGAGACTGGAGCGACTGTCCATTTTGCTCGGGTCTTGGGTCGTTGGCGAAGGCAGGATGTCCGGGATGTTGAAGTGCTGGCGAAATCATTCCCGCTGCCGTCGCCGCCGCAGCCCCTGCACCGGCTGCCAATGCCACCGGTTTAGTCGGAGGAGTTGTAGAAGCGGTTGCTGTAGGAGGAGTGGTGTTGGGTCTCGTGGTTGTGGCGGCAGCAGCAGCGGCGGCGGCGGTAGCAGCTCCAGGAGGAGCGGCTTGCTGAGGTCGCTGCTTCTCCTTGGGGTATGCTGAGCCTCCGTTGGGATTTACACTAGAATATGCCGGAGGCGGCGTCTTGGTGCCTAGACGTTGGAAGTCCTGTTCCAAAACGCTTACCTGCACGGGCGCATTTTGTTGGTATTGGTTGGGATTCGGTGCCTGTGCTGGCTGAGGAGGTGCTGAGGCGGCACCCAGTCGCGGTTCGGGGCTGGAGATGGGATTTAAGCCCTGGTATACGGTCGGGGGCCCCGAGGGCGCTTGATCAGGAGACTCGGTGGGTGTCCAGGGACGCTGAGGGGGAGGTTGATTTCCATATTGTGCTAGCCTCTGAGATGCCGCAGCACTCTGCGCTTGATGAGCCTGCAAGCTTGTGAGCGTCGCGGTGCCGGAAATACCAGAGGCAGCATATCGAGCCTCGATACCACCACCGGGAATAGTTCCAGGTTCAACAACAGGAGTCTCGGGTGGCGGTGGTGAGCCCCGGCTAGCTCGAGTGGTGGAGTTTGAAGCTGTAGATGAGAAGCGATTTACGCCCTGGTCTCCATTGGGAGCTTGGGTAGACGAGGAGCTAGCCGTTGTCGTTGTCGTAGTAGTAGCAGTAGCGGCGCCGGGAGGCGGGTAGTACGTCTTTTGATAACTCGGGTAGTTTGTAGCAGCCGGGTTTGGGCGAGGCTGGTCCTTCAAAGGCTGCGCAAACAGTCCCTGATCTGCCTCGGGAGTTGTCGGTGAATGAATGACCTTGGGTGAAGCGCCTCGCCTCTCAGCTAGGCCAGGCCTCTTTTCGACGGAACTCGTGTCCAGACGAGGCGTGGTGTCGTTGTAAGCCGAACCATAAGGCCTTGGCGCGGTCGGTCTGCGCACCTCGTCGTCATCTGGGAAGGGAAGCGGTGCGGCAGAGCTTGATGCGCCAGGTGGCAGAGGGAAGGGGGGTTTATTCGCGGGAGAAGCTGAGGTGCGGCCGGCGGGCTCAGGGCTCTTTGGTTTGAAAATGCGCAAAGGCTCGACAGTAGGGCTGTCACAGTCCTCTGGGGCCGGTTTGCTCAGGAACAGCTCCTGGTCGGGTATCCCACGACTTCTCTCCATCCTGTAGTATGACGTGGGCGAGACGCCTCACGACAAAGTGTGTGCCTCTCGGATGGCCAACGGCGTAATGAGCTGGCGGCACGAGCAACGCCCAACTATTTCAAACAATCCGAACGTCTACTGACGCGGCCGTCCGTGTGGGCCTTGGGTTGCAACCGCAGGGAAGAAGAATATCGTCGTCTTCAAGATTGTCGAGCCGTCAGCCCTAGCTATCGGATGTTTGGGAGCTGTCAATAAGACTAGACCAACTGAGCTGATGACTCGGGGGCGGGGTTGTTTCTCCAACCAGATCAGAGGGGGGAAAGCGCCAGACTTGGTCGCAGAAATGGCCGCCTTCGATGCAGCCGCCTGCAGGACGAGGAACTGTTTTAAAAGAAACCGAGAAACAGAATCTGAAGAGGAGAAGGAAGGACAAGGGGAAAGAGGAGGAGGAAGCAGTCTGAAACGACATTCAGTCTTTCACAGAGACCATGGCCAACTGGTCGTCTTCCACGCTCTTTCTTGTCCTTCCACCATTGAAGGCTCCTCCACCCTGAGCCAAGCCTTCCGTACCAGGTTATGAAGCGCTGGTACTCCGTAGTTAGTATGTGTCTAGCACAGACAGGCTCCATCAACCGGCAGGGGACTGGGCGGCAACAGGTTATGCGGGGGAGGCCATTGGTGATGATTGCGCAGATGGACGACGACGTGCAACAGACGTGAAGCCGTGCCTGGTAGCACAAGAGGCTGTCTAGGGTCCAGTTGCCTCGCCTGTCGTTCCTCGGCGCCTCGTTGCAGCCTCTTAGTGGCTGCGACTGGTAGACTATGGCACCGGACTTCGAGCTGGCGGCTCTGATTGGCCACAGACCTACCACCGTCCACCGTGGAAGCGCCCGAGCTACGGGAGTACTAGCTCAGTAGTCGATATTGGGCCCACTTTGCTCGGAAGTGGCATTCCAGGCACCACCAGCTCAGGGAAGTCTAGGTCGCCCAAGGAAGTGAAGCGAAGCTGTCAATCACAATACAATACGGAGTATAAGATCTCAGGTGGCATTTGTAACGTTGAACGCATGCTGTATGGCGTCACCTTTCTTGTGTGACACAGGCCGGCGCCAAAATCTTTGTAGGCTCGAAAGTCGAAACACACAAGCAACGGTATGCTTTGACGCGGAGACACAATAATCACGACCTTCTGCTCCGTCAAGTGCTCCCATATTCTATTCAGATCCATCATCCACCTACCGGCAGTGTCTAAATCTCCGGATCTCAATGTAGCCTGCATTTTATTTATACCTACGCATCTTGGCACCCGGCGCCCTCTACACATGCAAAGCGTATCGCCTGTTCCTATAATTCCAATCGTAACCGGACATGATGCCCCCGAAATGACACAACATACCCATGACGACGAAGCATTGAAATATTTGATGCGATGCGCCGATATAATCAAACGTGCCCAGGAGCCAGCGCTCCGGAAACTTGGTCTATAATAAAAGAGTCGGCTCACGCACAAATTTCTTACACTTGTGCCAAGCACATATCTCTCCTAATGTAGGGCGCCATTACGGCGAAAACAGGCCGGTAGCCGGCATGGATGTACGGGTTTTCGCTGTACCCTCGGGGATCTAAGAGATGGTTAGGAGGATGGACTTGCTGGGAGGAATGTTATCCTTGACCGCGGAGGAGGGTTGCTTCGTAGACAGGGGGATGGGTGTCGTGGACGGAGCGTTTTCTGTGACGGTGACTCTGTTCCTGAGCATGTTGACATGTCTTCGTGGATGACTATATGGCACTCGCGAAAGTATAAACGATTGAAGATGGGAAAAAGAAGCAATTGAAAGCTAGACAAGCTCGAGGGATAGATGTAACCAAAAAAATAGAAGCTTCATTAAAATGCGCACATGCTCAACGAAGCCAAAAGGGACATCTAGACATCTGGAGCAATCCGCATGCCACGGCTAGTATTAACTCACATGCATCCAATTGACCAGTACCGATGCACCAACGAGCCACGACGCCGGGCGCTGCACCATCAATCCAACCACAATTTTATCTATTCGCGTCTTAGCTCATCTATACTTTACAGATACAGTCCGCCAGGGGGGACTAACCGCCCGCATAAACCCTTCTCATCCCTTCAAGTTCCCGTTGCTTTTATTTTCATTTCCAAGAAAACCACCCATATGGCGCAGAGTAATGCAGGACCGCGCCGATGCAGTTTTTGCCAAATGTGCTCATCGCTTCTTATTCTTGCGCTTGCTGGACTTGCCGCTCTTTTCCATCCCGGATGATTTCGCCTTGCCGAGAGAGTCGGTGCTCTTGTCCAGGAGCTCAAAGTCATCGCCGGCGGATTCGCTAGTGGGAGTTTGCTGAGAAACATCAACTACTTCCTCAGCGTCGACAGTCTCAGAGTCCGAAACAGCATCTCTGCTACCGGTGAAACGGCCGACAGTCAAATTGAAGATATGCATGGGAAGGCGCACGACGGCGGTGTCCCTGAAGGTAGGCTGCAGAAGCTCATTGGGCTGTCTCGTTTGTTAGTATGCATACTTGAGAATGTTCATGTGCAAAAGGGCCAGCGGCGACACTCACGTCGAGGAGATACTCGTTGACATTGCCTTCCTCATCTTGCTCTTCCAAGTAGACGTCTCCTAAAGAGTCAACTACGAGGATTTTGCCGTTTTCAGCAACGACTCTCTTGCGAACACCAGTAGGGCCGGAAGAGGCATCACGAGAAGCGCTAGGGGTCTTCTTAGTAACCTTCCTAGCACGTCCACGGCCGCCCTCCTTCTTGGCTTCCTTCTCTTGCATGCGACGTTCCTTTCGGTTTTGGGGCACTGGGGGAGGAGCCTCCTCGTCCGAGGCCGTAGCGGGTGTAGAAGACCGAGGTTCAATATTCGGGATGCCCAAATTTCCGCCCCAAGCAGTGTCCCTGGCGAACTTGACGTAGCGCCCGACAAACTCGCGCTGCCGCTTCCAGCTCATGTACAAGATCAAGTAGTGGATAGCACCGCCGCCAACAATGAAAAGGCCAACCATGACAGTTCCCAAACCGGGTCGGTACCTGTCGTAGTAGTAATCGGTGCCCTTCCAAAGAGGGAATCCATGGGCAAGAAAATGGTCGTAGCGGTCTCTCGAAGGGCCCTTCAAGATGTTGGCAATCAAGCTAAGTCGGGTCTGGCGCTCCGAAGCTTGCTTGACAGCGGCCTTGACCTCTGCTGAGCTGGGAGGCTTGATGGCGCTCTTCTTTCCCTTGCCACCGGCTTTCTTTGCGCGCTCGGCCCTCAGTCGCTGCGCAACCTTGTCAGGATGAAGGGCGATGGTCTTCTTTCGGTGGGCTCTGTTGATGTCATCGAAGGAGGCACTGGGAGGCACACCAAGGATGTCGTAAAAGGTCGCAGCAGGGTTGGGCTCGTGGGCAGAGATTTCATCTCGGATTCGGAAGATCTCACGATCTGGGACACGGATTAGCGACTGGGAGAAAGAAGAGATTCTCCATCTCTAATGGCACTGCGACATGGACTGCGACAGCAATGGCCACGGATACATATCTGGCCTTACCTTCTTTGCTCCATGCGGCCGTGAGCGGCGTGAGGAGGGACAGCAGCCCGAGGGAAAGATACGCGATCTTCATAGCGGCGAGAAACGGCACACACCGCCGACGACTATGGCATGAAGGGTCGCAAAGATTCAATTGCTTTGTTGGATGCACAAACTGACAGTCTGAAAAAAAAAAAAAAAAAAGACGAGGCCTGGTGATGCCGTGGCACAAGGCCAGGTGGCTTAACACCCAAGAACGGCTAGCCAAAGTGACAAATGACAGGGGGGCGATGCACAAGTGTGGGACAGGGGCAGGCCTCTTGAGTCTTGACTCTTGACGGGTCGCTCTTGCCCCCGAATTTCAAGTGCCGGCCCGCAGCCCGTTTATGCGACATTCCAGTCCTGTCAACCGCTGGTTGCAAGAGTGTCGTGAGCTCAGCTTCAAACATGGAGTTTATCTAAAGCCGTGGATTTAGCTGCCTGCCAGAATCATCTTCAAGCACCCCATCTGATCACTGTTGAGCTCACACCCACAAGTCGGACCCCATCTGGACCACGGCAAGTAGGCATGATTTCCAGCCTCGAGAACTTTCCTTGAGCCGTCAACTTCAATACTCCGCATCCTTAGTGATGCCGACGTGTCCAGAGTACTCTGGGTGAAATTCATGTATTCCAGCTAACAGGGCGCCTCATATTCTCAGACGGCTATTAATCTCATATCTGAATGAAAACAAGCATTCTGTGTATTAACAAGGCAAAAGCTAAATCGTACCAGTTTTCTTCTCTTTCACCGTTGGTGGTTGGTGGGCATTTGTCCCAACTGATAAGAAAGAGAAGGCACCACGCAGTCTCATATTCCGGATATCTATATATAAAAGAAGCAAGTTGGTGCAAGATTAATCGTCTTTAACCGTCTCATTCGTCTTCAAATCTCTTAAACCACCCCTGTCTTTACTCGTCTCTAACCGTCCTTAATCGTCTTCAACCACATCCGTCTTTAGAGACTCGCTCACGCTGTGCGCCGCAACTATCTTGTCTTCGTAGAAGACCTGAAAGTCTTGCGAGATTCCTTGTGTTACCATCTCGATTTTGTAGGGTAATTCGTAAAATATATGGCCGTCGTCATTCGTTTTCTCTGGAAGCACAGTAATATCTGGGATATATGACCATCGCATGCGACAAAGCAACCTGACGGTATGATCAAATCTGTTTGGTGGAGTTTCAGCCAGAGAATACACCATCTCGTTTACGATTTCCGTAGGCTGTTCTGTTAAGGCCTGGAAGAAGTCAAAGACAGCAGGCTCATTCCCGTTAACCACCTCGCCCTATGCTTCGTCAGACCATGCCCTTGACTTCTGAACATGAGGTCAATGTTACCTTATAAATAAACCAGTGGATTTGGTCCGAGGCCTGATAATCTTGTTGCACAGGGCACCACTCCTTGTCATTTATATCGTGGATATCCTCATCAAAAGGGAGGGCATTGTATGTAGTTCCAATGCTAGCCCGAGCAAATCTGGAGTCAACTAAGCTGTGTTGTGCTGAGTTTTGAGATTGCTCCTTCTTCAAGCCATTTATTACTGCTCCCTCGCAAATTGCTGTCCATCTGTAAATAAACATGAGAGGTTAAGCCACAACAAATACCTGCCTTTTTTATCTCATCAGCGAAACTTACGGGTCATTACCTTCGTCTTGGAGGATTTGGATACTCTTAAACTTTAACCTAATCTCCTTCTGGAGATAGTCGTACAGAGCACGAGATCTTCCAAAACCGCCTACAAGCAGTACATACTGTTAAGAGCTGTTAGAATGCAAGAGTTTGACAAATTTTCATGTAGATTGCACGTACCTTGGGCGGTCTCCTGTACTTCCTATGGGCCTCCCTTATTTGGCCCAAGACTAACGATGCAACCTCGCCCAAGACATCCTTAAAGACGGACCAGATATCATCTCTTCTTTAAAATCAGCCTCTCATGTCTCTAAGCTAACAGATTTTAAATCGCCTCGGACAAGATCTTACCTTCCAAGTATAATATCCTGGGGATGTCCAACATCGGCTAGACTCGCACAATATGGAATTCGGACGGTCCACGACTTATTATTATTTGTAAACCCAGGCTTGATGCCGTTTTCCCAATTATCATTAAGAATTCTTTGCCACTCTTCACGAGACAAAGCTTCTAGGACTTCCCGTGGCATCTTGCTCTTTAGTACACGCCCAAAAGCTTCATCTAGTCGTACTGCACCGCAAAGCCCCCCTGTAAAACACATTTAGTAAACCTGAGAATAATCCTGCATAGGCTGACTTACCATCGCCGGGGACGCTTTCTCGAATTGATAAGAGAAGCGGCCTTAAGATCTTATAGGTGATGATGTCCTGGTCTTGATTAATCCCAGCCCAGTTGAACATTGGCTCAGCTGCTGTAACTTACCACAGTACCACCGCCACAATCACAGACCACAACATCATCATTTCTCTATTTCGAAGTCAGTGAATAATAATAGAACAGAATAGTGATATTCGAATCCAGAGAATATACTCACCTTTATATCTGGCCTTCGATACATTTTGTGTAGTGTTGCAAGTGCTGCAGCTTCAGGCTCCGACAAAAAGGTCAAACTAGTTTTGCCAGCCGCTCGCTTATCTAGTAATCCCGCAGCTGCAATGGCCCTATGCATTCTGATTTGAGCATAGGCTGGCCAAATTGCTGGCAAAGTTACCACAAATTTGAAGGTTGAGAGTCTGACCATGCTCTCTCCTATGGCCCTCTCTATCACTTGCAGGCTGTGCTCCCATAGCAGTCGAAGGTAGTCCGCGATGACCTCTGTCACATGTTTGTTTTCCGCTTTTAGCAAGGATTTTGCAGTTCGAATATATTTCGTGTTTTTGATATGGGCGGGCATGTGTTCATCATCGAGCAGTAAGAGTTTAAACCATCGCAAAGCATTTTGCTCTGACCTCACCTCATAGCCCCATGTTGGTGTCTTACTGTTACCGTCATAGTAGATAGCAGTAGGGACTTTTCGTTTCGTGAAGCAGTAAAGGTTGGGCGAGCTCCAGCTCGAAACAAAGTGTACCCGGTCTGGCTCGGCGTCTCGAGCAAAGGCAACACCAGAGTACCTAGAACCGGTCAGCAAAACTGTAATCTTTTCTATTATACGCTCATATAGAACAGACGTGGTGCCAAAATCAATTCCCACTATGATAGAATGAGAACGAGCCATGATGTGGACGTAGGTTTATTGGAAGACCATGCTCGGGTTATCGATCGTTATTTGCCGCCAACGGGATGTGGATTGATATAGGAGAAGCTTTGTGTACGCTAGAAAATTTGCAGATAAATCCTGCTCGATGGTCTAAAGTTGCAAGGAGAGAGGCACAAATAACGTTTGTAGCACAAACAATTTTACTTTCCAGTCGGCTCACTTCATTCTCACTTACCATTCACTTTCTTCTCATTTTCAACCCCCCTCATTTTCCCCGTTATTAAGCGAAGCTATGGGACACAATAGAAATAAAACCTTCCATCTAAAAGAATTCAATTTGTTTTTAAGTCCTTCGACCTTCTAATCTGCTCCTCTTGCTCCACCATTCATCTCAGTTTTCGGTTACGATACCATCCTCCGATCTCTTTACCATCGAATTAGTAGCCAAATCTCGCATAATCTATCAAAATGACACCAAGAAGAAGCACTCGTATTGCTAGCGAAAGACTTGGGTCTGAAGGCGACGTAGAATATGTACCCCCGGCAGAGACGACCACCATTTGTACCAAGAAAGGTCAGCTGGCCACCAATTCAACTCCAGGTAAACGAAAGAAAGTCAAAATCCGAACAGGAAACACAAACTCTCGAATAAGAGGAAATGATTTTGAGGAAGAGAATGCATCACTTGGCGAGAAAGAAATACAAACCACCTCAAAGTTGGCAGAAAAGAGACCACTTCAAGTCTCCAATGCAACAGACCCTGCAACAAAGCGACTCAAGTATGATGAAGGGGTTCAGAATCTTGCACAAACGCCCGAAGACGGGTACCATAGGCTGAGACGAAGACTGCTGCACTCAACCGAAAAGATTCTCGACCTCGAGCTAAACGCACAAGATAAAGACGATGAGGTAGCAGGGCTGAGGGATGAAAACTCTATGCTTTCAAAGCTTGTTGGCAATCTTGAGGCCGAAGTCGTACGTCTGATGGACAGCAATAACTTGATTCAGGTCAAATGCAGAGAGTTGGAAAAGCATCGTGACGAAATTCAGCAAAACGCAATACAAGCTCTAGATGATGCTAAAAAACACCACACAAATGAGCTTTCAACTATATCTATTGATACCATCGACAAAAAATGGAGGCATCTCATCTATTGTATTCACGACTTGGTTGTCCAAAACCTCACCGCCGAACCGGCACAAGATGGCGATTTACAGACCAGACGGGCAGTAGGGAGACTCATTCGGGCGGTTAGAGAGAGACCCTATTTACAGACGTCACTCATCGAAAGGTACATTTGGAGATACATTTATAGATCTGTATTCCAAGCAGATAGTGCGCTTTGGGGTGGCGCTAGCGGGCTTACCTTAACCACGATTTGCGGTGATCCAAGAGGTATGTGTCGCTCAAAATGTCGACTGAACTATGACTAGAGATCGAATCTTGATACATGTTCTCACTAACTACGGCATAAAGTTCAAATTGGGCTTTCAGTAACGGAAGTGATGAAATACCGGGCAGCGGAGACCCTTATCTCCCGGTTTGGGGTGAATGAACGCCAGAGATTGATGCATATAGAAGACATCTACGAAGCTCTGGCGCCTTTCCAATCAAATCTGGTGACTACTGAGGTGCGGGAAGGCGTAGTCCTCGCATTCGATTCTGCTGTCAACATCATGAAAATGTTCATGAAGTCTCAAGATATATATGGGTTTGGGACTTGCTTTGAAGACTCTAATTCGAGGCAGGTGGCCTATGACAAAGAGAACATGAAAATTTCGACATGTTTGGTGCCTGACAGTCCTCACAGGAATCAACCAGAGAGATTTGAAGTTCTGCTGGTGCATAACCCACCGCTTTTTATTATCAGCATGACCGAGGGTGAGTATTTTGGGCGCAAGGAGTTAGTTTGCCGTGCAAACGTGACAGTTCGCAAGGAGGAAGTGTCAGATGATGATACAGAGAAGGGGTCAGGAGAACTAGAAGATAAGATTTCTGATGAAGTCAGCATCATTGTGAGCTGACTTCGCTGGGCAACTACGCACATGGCCAAGGAAGTGTAACGGTTCATGGCTACATATCTTGCTTATCTGTGATGAACTTGCTGAAGGGAAGGCTATGAGGGCGGTTTATACAAAGTTAGTATACTAGACAGTGTTCATCGCTACGTACTCAAAAATGTACTTGATCTCATCAGAGGACCATCTTTCTGCGTAGCCGGTTGCTTTCACCCGTCTGTGAACACTGACTTGCACATACTAGCCTCGTAAGTGGAAGGTTATTGCTGGGCGTTACTCGACACGAAACTTATGTATTTCCCCCTTCAAGGAATGGAAGAGAAGTCAGGTTGATACGGTCTTTGGCAGAATATGTCTGCCTATAAAGGACACACAAACATGCCATTGACAGCATATTGCAGCATAGAGCGTGATGGTCAGGCGCCTGAGGGCGTCAAGTAACTTCAATGTTGACATGGTGGCTTTTTGCTTCCGCACTGTAGGTGATGTGAGTTGTGACTTGCCGCACAGTGCATAGAGACTCTGGAGTCATTGACAACATTGAACACATAAAATAATACCGTTGGTGTGGCCGCGCCCATTTTTTGCGAGTCTAATCCACCAAGTGGATCGACATCTGGTGGAACCAGAACCGGGAACTACACTAGCTTCATGCACCACATCTGCATCCACTGGCAACATCTCCATGCAACTTTTTATGTACAGCTTGGACACCACAAACAACAAGTTCATTGCCAATTTTAATTAAACAGAACTGCTTGAGACATATTCATTGTCCTTGCGATACGAGGGATACAAAGCCGGCATCCGCCCGGATTGTCTGAATCATGCCGTCGTTCAACGGCACCGCAGGACCAAGTGATGATGACGAGGACGACTACATGAACATGACGTTTGACGACCCTGTACCCCAAAAAGAAACCTCTCTACAACGAACACAGCGCTTAAAAAAGGAATCCCTGGCCAGAGGCCTAATAAAGTCCAAAGCACAACTCGCAGAAGAGGCCGCTGCAGCAAGAGAAAAGGCCCTCTCAACGTCTATGCTCGAAGCGCCCGGAGCAAAGAAGAGCAAAGGCCTGGCCATGATGGCCAAGATGGGATTTTCCGGAGGCGCATTGGGCAAAAAGGACCACGATGGCGAGAGCTCCAGCAAACCAGAGCCGATCAAGGTCAGCATCAAAGAGGACCGGGGCGGCATTGGCCTGGAGAGCGAGAAGAAGCGCAAGTTTGACGAGGCCATGGAAGAGCGGGGCACCAAGACTGTCAAAATAGACCCAGACGAGTACAGGGAGAGAGTAAGAAAAGAGCGCGAGGACGAGAGGCTCGAGAAGCAGTTTCACGCCGCGCAGCGTGTCGCGGAGCGCATGGACGAAGAGCAGGTCGCCCACGATGAGAGCGCGTCCGACGAGGAGTCAGAATCCGCGCCGCGTCCAAAACCTCTTTCCTCGCGGCCGCTCAAGTCGATTCCCGTGCTGTACCGTGGCCTCGTGCGCCACAGGGAGGAAAAGGAGCGTGATAGGCGGATGAGGCATGACCTGGAGCAGTCTCTCTCGCGATTACCTACCTATGACGACGCCGACGAGGATGAAGACGACAAGAGGGCTTTGGGGAAGAAGAAGACCGTGTATGTTACTTCGGAGGACTTGGACGAGGAGGATGAGGAGCTGGATTCGTTTAATGCTCTTGAGCCCGCCGAGAGGCTGACAAGATTGGTCAAACACTTGCGAGAAAAGTACTGGTATTGCTTTTGGTGTAAGATGGGGTATGAGAGCAGTGAGATGGACGGGTGTCCGGGCGTCGCTGAGGAAGACCACGATTGACAGGGGCAGTGAAAATTATGGCACAAAAACTGTTGATACATCGACATGTATTCTAGGATTCGGCTCCCCTACGTCTCTTGAAACTCCATTGTGTCGGTCGTTGCTGAAATTCGTAGGAACCTTGCTGGGCAGAACTCCAGCGAGGAGTGAGACAGAAGGTGGTCGTTATGCAACGATGGAGATGACCCAGATGCGATTTTATGTCCGAATTCTCATCAAGGTCAAGGGTTCACATGCAGCGTGTGGAGCACACACTCAACTATTCTCACACGTGCTGCGCATCAGGGAAAAAAAACTTTCCACGACATATCCATAAACAGCTAATCAACCAAAGACATCTACCTGTTCCTGGACCGCTTCCTCGCCGACTTCTCTCTTTCATACGCATTGGCCTCCTTGCCCTCCTCGCTTTGAATCTCGGACACAATCCTTTTGAACTTCTTCTCATACGCCTCATCCTTGGCCTTCTTGATTCGGAGCTTCTCTCTTGCCATGAAATTGGCGTCCTTCCTCAGCTCCCTCATGGCCCCCTTGCGCTCCTTCTTGTGTTCGGCCTTCAACTTGGCCAACTCAGCACGCTCCCGGTCAGGGTCGTAATGCTTGTCAGGATCGAATGTCTCTTCAAACTTGGGTATATATGTCTTGATAGCAAGTGGTCGATGGTGGTGCAGTTCCAAGGGCCGTCGTGATATTTGAGCCAGGCTGAGCATCCGCCCGAGTTTGGCTATTAGTTTTTCTGCCCTGTCCACTATTTGAGATGGCAATTGTGGCCGGCAGGTCTTGCTGGTGAGGTGCTCGAGTACCTTCACTACCTGGCCAAATGTCTCCAAGAATGCCTCCTTTCCAGACCACAAGTCAGCAGCGACATCTAGGATATCCAACATGGTGGCAATGATTGCAGCCTTGGCAGAGTCGCTCTTCGAGCTGACAGCTGCACAATCGCCCAGAGTCAACTTCCTAACAGCAATAGCATCCAGTTTTTGAGCTCGAATACCAGCTGGGGGTTCGTGCCGAGGAAAGTTGCCAAGCCGTTTGGCCGGTGCAGATGGCGACAGAGCACATAGCGTGTTCAAGCAAAAGCCAGGCACTTCTGGAACAAATCTCTTTGACAGTTGCTGATAATTCAAGGACAAGATGGCAAGATATGCACCTGTCGCATAATCGCATAGTTTATGAGGGACCTTCTGGCCCAAAAACCGACCCATAGTGAGCAGAGATGGTGTTACGACTTGGTGGAAATGATCCGAGGTAGGAAATACGGTGCCAATAGCTGTTAGTACCACGAGATCTGATGGCTCCAGGGCCAGAGGTCGATCTTGACCAATGTCCGAGATATGATGGCGAAACCTTCGGCCCACCTCTGTTGGGAACATTTTGGAAAGAGAGTGAATATGACGAATTAGACTCTCCAAAACGGCAAATGGCGGAGATGTCTTTTCATTCCACGGCAGAGCCACAAAGTCCACAAGAGCCATGGCAAAATTGCCCAGTTTTTCCTTGTTTTTGCTATCCAGTTTGGGATGATGAAGAGCTCGGATTCGTTGGACAATTGTTGGCAAGGATTTATGAGAGTAGGCTGTGGTTATGGCCTGAAACTCGTCGCAAGACTGGGGACAAGGAAAGGTGAAAGGTAGGCCGTGCTCATCCGACTGTTCGGCCGCTGCCGCCCTTGCATCAGAGTCGACAATTCGAAAGATAGGATTTCTGGCTTCTTCTTCGTTCAGCAAGCCCTTGGTAAACTCGTCTTCCTCATCCACCTCATTCTGTTGTGACATGTCGTCATCTTCCTCCGAATCTTCGTCACTATCCACAGGCTCGAGATCGGAACCGCTCGCGACGAGGTCGTCGTCAATGATAAAATCGTCTTCATCGTCAAAACCCATCTCTGTGGCAGTTGGACGAGCGCGAATACCGCTGCCCAAGCCAAAATCATCGTCGTCGTCATCAATTTCCATCCCGCCCAAGTCAGCTGCCTTGTCCTTATCTTCCTCTTCGTCCTCGCTGTCGGTCACATCCTCTCCCTTCATACGTCTCTGACGCTTATCCTCGAGTTCCTTCAATCTTTTAGACTCCTCCTCCGCCTTTTCCTCTTCAGTTTTAGTTCGCTCAGTAGGCTGAGCACGCTTGTCCTGTGCCAACTTTTTAACTTCAAGATCAAAGTTCCGGTCGAAAGCGTCTCTGTCAACACCAGCAATTGAAGATGCGTGAGTGCTATTGGCCCCATTCTCGCGTCGTGAACCCTTGGTAGATGTGAGAAGCGTCTGAATGCTTTGGAGTTCCTTGTCCAACTCGACACGCATATCCTCGTCGACTTCCTTGGCAGCTTGTCTTTCATACTTGTGCATCTTGGATTTAGCAATGATTTCTTCCATGACTTCCTTCTTGGTTTTCTTCCTTTCTGGTTCATCTTGTTCACCTTCATCGTTATCTGCCGCTGCCATGGATCGCAGTCGCTTTAGCCGCTGCATTTCCCTTTCGGAACCATCGCTGTCGTAGTCCATGTCCAGGTCATCTTCCTGGAAGTCGTCCACTAGGTTGTCGTCGTCGAATTCCAAGGCTTTGCCCCCGTGGGTTAGACCGCCTTCCATGGGAATATCGTCCTCTAGATCAAACATTGAGGTCTTCTTGTGACTTCGCTGTTTCTCTCTGGCGAATCGCTCGAGCATCTTGTCTTCCGGCGCCATCGTGGGGTCATATTCGCCAAATCGTCTGTCCATAATGCCCCCAACCTTGTTGCGTCGCTGCATATCAACTAGCAGTGTCTCGCGTCTCTATTACACAACACCCTCGTTAGACTGAGCCTCTGCAACAATGCGCAGTGATGAAACCCACCCTTTCTTCACCCACAGCTCTGGCGACGCCAGGTCGTCCTCGAATTCCCTTCGCAGCATCTCCGGTAGCGACTCGGTTGGTCGTCACGTCGAATTTGGGACCCCGGGCAGCATGCTTCAGATCAAACGGGTTAAACTGCTCGCGGATTCCCTCCAGGACCACACCTCGCTGAAGTCTCTTATCGCTGCGTGCCTTTCCTTGCTCAGCGTTCTTACGGCGCTGTTTCTTCGACTGCTGAGGTCCAGTTATGCCCTGTTCTCTCAATGACGCCTTGAGACGCTTGAGTTGTGACCCTGCCATTTTCTAAAGACGTAAATCGCCAACACCGACTCACCTCGAGTGCTGCTGGGGATGATCGATAGATGTCCGTCGCACTTGGCTAGGAAATTTTTTGACTTTTAGATTGCTATCGATAAAGCGCCTGGTGGGGCCTGCTCATCTAAAGCGTCACAGCGTGGCTTCCTACCAAGCCATGCCTACTTCCACAACTCACTAAACTCAAACCGGATCAAGGTTTTGGTGGTGGCTCGGGGCAGAACTATTTATACCTTCGCCTGCCTTGCCACGGGCGCTTCGAACAGCATCTCGGTAGCATTGCTACACCGTGCCAACAATCGCACCCGGCATGCATGAGATAGCATTTATTCTCATTGAATTTCTGCCGCCATGGGGTGGAAAGAAGCCGTTTGGTCATTCTGTCGCGACGACCGCGTGCACCTGGTCGGTATTGGCCTCGCAACGTTTGGCCTTGTCCGTTCCATAATTACCGTTTTGACCATCATTCGCGATGAAAACAAAATCCCACCAAAGGAGCCTAAGGCGCAATACATCACTCAGGAAACGGAAGATTCCCTAAGGCTCGATACTTTGGAGAAGCTTTTAGTGCACCCTAATTATTCCGTCAGGGAGGTTGCCACCAAGATATTGTGTGATAGAGCCATCAACGATCCTCAAACTCTCCTTACGCTTCTCTATGGAATTACTCGGCCAGATTACGAAGAGCGTATGAGATGTCTTCGAGCTCTTGCTCTGCTTACTGGACAGACCATGGGTACGTACCAGACACGCCGGCATCAATCATTGTACCGAGCTAATTCCTGCAGGCCTCGATGGCTTAGCTCAACTTAATAGTGACAAGGCGTACTCGGCATTGGTGAGGTCGCTGGAATTAAGTCTCGAAGACGCAGAACCTCCAGACTTGACGAATAGCCACTGGGATGAATATTATCTTCGTGACATGGCCGAAAGATTTAACCTCATGTTCATCCACGAGTTAATCACCAAATATCCCAGTCAGGCACTTATCAAGGCTAGGTTCGTGGAAAAGTGGCTCGCAAAACAGAAATGGGGAGACGATCCGGTTGCACGCCGCGACAATTTCAAGGCATACATGCACCTCAAAGACAATAGGCTTGTGGACATTGTTGATAAGTTAAAACGTTCTAGGAGAGGCTTGAGAGCCTTGGAACAGGCTGGCTTGATCGACGATTCCAGGCAGCAGATCCGAACTCCGGACATGATTATGGAGATTGAAGAAGAAATTGTGGGGGAAAGCCCTTCCGTAAATCGCGTTCTAAGGCCTATGCGAGAGACTTCTGTGGAGGAGCAGCGACTTCGACGCCAGCACCGCGAAGCAATGGTCCTCAACGATGGCACGAGGCCTCTCGGAAGAGAAGACATTATAGAAAGGGACCATGGGTCGCCACCATAAATCGAGTGGTATAATGGCTTGAATCTGGACACCTCCTTACCTGGTGATAACTTCTGGTATTGGCATATTATCATTCAGCCTGCTGTTATTGTAGGCACCTCTGTTGGAGGTTTACAAGAACCAAATACCTAGGCTTTGCAAGATATTATAGGAGATGCCAGCACCGCATAGTGGCTCATGACTGGTACAGTCACTGCCTTTGGTTGGACGTCGGCAGGCAGCAGCGTATTCCTTCGCCAAGGTGAATGGATATTTGCGGGAGTCTTCATGTCGGCGATGGCAAATCGTCTTCAAACACGGGGTTTGTCCGTCGGTGGATCATGCTTGATCTCCTCGTTACCAAAGCTTCGGTGTCTTATTGGCGAGTCTGCTTATGGCTTCCGTGGACTTGAAGCCTTTACCGTTGGATAAATAATAGGCAAAATGAGATGGTACGGGTAGGGACTAATTGTCGACGGATGGAGTTTTGTTATTGGGTTAGCGAAAAATGGCTATTCTGGCAAGCGTACTAAGCTAGATATTTCCAGCGCAGTTATATGGCAGTGTAATACGTAAGCATAATACTGACGGTAACATTGGTTTTCCAACCTCCGTACATTCGAATTGGTATCTTGTAAATGAATGTGGCAGGTCATTCATTCATGTTGCGCCTCTGGCACCGCAGCCGGCTTGTACTCGGTTCCTTGAAAGTACCTGTCCCTTCAGAGGCAATAAATAACGAAGAATCAAGTTATTATGCTTGTCTGCTCCGTGTACAGTACCTAATTAATTGCCCTGGTTTACTTTGAAGTTCAAGGTAACTAAATATTCCTCTATATACTTTCTAGAGCATACAGCCATTCATACATATTCCGTGATGCCGCCTCACGGTTCTTTGTTTGTTTCCATCAGTGGTTAAAATCTAGTTAGGGAACGCCGCATTGCCTGCTACAAGTCTCCATTAATTGGGAGAAACACGATGCGTTCCGAGCCGAGCACGTTTTCAAGTGTTGTCTTATAATTCTGCACTTGGGGAGATCCGGGGCAAGTGCTTACGCCTAGCCCTTTTATGTCGTTGCATCCGGATAGCTGTCTGAGACCTTGTAATCACATTGTACACTGGAGTTCCATGTCCATTGTACTCGTCATAAATATATAATGTGTCGTCCGCACTACGGACTAGTATATGATATGCGATATATATGTTTCAGGTGGCTCAAAAGTCATGGCTGCTGTCATGACTTGAAGAAGTCTATCCTTTGGAAGAATCGGCAGTGTAGTGTATCATGGCTTCCAAGAGGAGAGGAGCTCACTTGAAAAACAAAATGATGCCAGCGTGGTGATCTGGCTATCACATGGATTGGGTCGCCGGTGGACTTATTAGAGTCACTGGCTGTCAACCTACTCATGTACTTACTTGAGTAGACAACCCTTGCTAGTGGGCAATAGGGGCCACCTGGCGTGGGGGGAGGATGCATGGCGTGCGGAAACCGATGGAAATGTAAACACAATCGACACGGGCGACATTGGACGACGGTTTGCCCGAGCAATGAAAGGCAAAAAGGATTTGACTCGACAAGACAAGACGAGGTCGAGAGCTATATCAGAGATACAGAGCGTCAGCATCTAGGTTGAATGACAGGGCGAAAGAGAGAAAGAGAGTCTCGTGGCACTTGGAATCACGGCCCAAACCGACAGTAACTGAATACTAGTCCATCACTCGTTAATTTGGAGTAAAGATTCGCAATCTTGTTTCCTTAGTCCGAGTTGGGATTAGCCCCCCACGACCACAACGCAGTTCGTCAACCATTTCTCAAGTGGCCCAAGCGGTGGCGTCAGCGGCCTGATGAGTAGTCTCCGTTCTCGGGTGGGATGGCTGCAGACACTGCATCCGTGATGCAGCTCGAGATGTTGAGAGGCGGTGTCGGCTGGCCATCAACAGGGCAACAGGCTGACCTTGGACGTCTTGGGGCGTATTGCCAGGACCCATTGGGACCTGTGATGCTCGATGCGACAGAGACCTGCATGTCAACTTGTATGTAAGCTGCAGTAGCGCCGTCATGTCGCCATCGTGACCGTGTTCCGTTCATGTTGTATCAATTGATTGTTGTGCACATGTGGCCAAGTGTAGCCAGCTGGTGCCAGTGGCCCAGTGCCAAGGTGATCATTGAAGGGTTCACTGAAGGGTTCCAGCCGCCAGGGCCGTTGACCGTGCTGTGCCGGCAACTGGACCACCAGTAACTCGACAGCCTCGCAGGCTCACGGACTCGATGGCGCCAGGCCTCAACAATAAAGTATTGAAGGGCTTGTTTCATCTGTTGTTCAGCCTGGCACTCCTTACTTGGCGCATGCATCTGTGCTCTCGTCGTGATTTTTGGTTTTAATGTTCGTCTCGTCTCCCTACCTGCCCGCCAGTCTCTTCCCTCCTGCAACATTCAGTGTTTTGTCTAATGTTCGTTCCTTCGCTGGCTTTAATTACGAGCCCACAATTTGGATGTGCAGCGCCTGTCTTGGTCACTCCAACGCCGCCCCTTTTTGGGTCCCTTTTCTCATTCTCCAATCTGCGCTACTTGGTCGCCGGTCCATAGCCGCTGGAGGGCTGACGGCTTCGGTGCGCTCGGCTATTCTATTTTATTTTATTTTCCCACTCCTCGGCTCTTGATACGGAGTACTACTACAGAGACCTGGGTAACTACCTAGGTTCGAGGAGTTGCCCAGTGTGCAGAAGCCAAGCGTGGGGTTCTTGGGTCAACAAACGTCCAGACATCGAGAGTCTAGTGCGGGCAAAAGCGGGCACCGACTGCTCGTGGTTGCAGAACCAACACGGCAGGCGCAAGTTCCTTCCTGTACCTGCCCGAGCGCTCCCAAGACTACCAGACCGTTGAGGGTGGGCAGCCAATCTTGACCCGATCTGGTCGTCTGCTCTCGCGATGGCTTCTACTACCACCACCACAACCACAGCCACGTCGACCAGAGCCTTGCGCTCAAGACCATCCTTATCGCGACTACGTGGTCCCTCGTCGTTTGCCTCGACCCCCAATTTAAATACTTTATTTACTGCGCAGTCCAAGTTGCTGCCGCCGACCCTGGGCTTGCCACGAAAAGCTTCGCTTGCTGCTCTTACTCCTAGTTCGCTGGCCAGCATACCCGATGTCAGCGAGAGTTACGCCCTCGACACAGTATTGAGCGACTCCTCGCCAGCCATGGCTCCAGCGACCCCTCGCCGCCAATCGGCTGAAGATCTCCTCGTTGGAGATACTGTCGACGTTCCCGGTGGCATGTACGGTACTGTTCGCTTTGTCGGTACCGTTCAGGGGAAGAAAGGCACATTTGCCGGCGTTGAGCTTCACCAGGACTTTGCTGCGAGGGGCAAGAACAGCGGCGATGTGGACGGGTATGCTTTACCTGCAATTGCTCCGTGATGCTCAAATTCTTTCTCATGTCTCCAAAGTAGCAGCGCTAACTTGTTGATACCCAATAGAATATCTTATTTCGCCACCTCAACCCCAGGCGCGGGCATATTTGTTCCGGTAGTGAAAGCGTCTCGTCGAGGTTCTTCTACCAGCTCGTTCCCAATGACCCCAACTGCAAGCGCCAATGGGCGAGCCAACGGAGTAAACTATACGCCGCCAGGCCTACCCAAGTTCAGCGCCTCCGTCGGACCTGGCGCCAGAGCACCCAGCCCCGGGCCCAAACGACCACCGAGAACATCTCTTCCAAGGCCAGATTCCCCGGTGCGCCGAACTCAAATGACTCCTGGACCCCGTCCCTCGATCGGTACGCCGGCTCCCAGGCCACCTGCAAGGTATGGCAGCCCGACGAACAACAGTCGATTTACCCAAAGCGTCCGTGGTACAGCGGGCGACCCAAACAAAAAACCATCTCGACTTGATCGCAAGCCAAGCATCGGCGGTCCTCGCAGTGCTTCGGTCCTAGGATCCGCTCCTGGTTTTGACGAAGAGTCGACACCGTCACTGTCTGGCAGCCCGCGAAGGCTAGGGCCAAACGGACTTGGCAGCTCCGTATCTGTCCTGAACTTGAGGCGCCCAGCTTCCCGAGCCAATGCTGCTAATGAAGAGGAGATGGAACGCCTTCGATCCCAGCTTGAGGACCGTGACAGGCAGCTAAAGGATCAAGCTACGACGTTGGCCGAAATGGAGAGCAGCCTAGTTGAGCTTCAAGGCCTTATCGAAAGTACGGATATGCCTGGGATGAGAAGGAACAGTCTCGACGACAAGGATTCTGCTCAACTGCGGGCTATGTTGCGGGAGAAGAATGACAAGATCGCCATGCTCACCTCAGAGTTTGACGCCCATCGGGCAGACTTCCGCAGCACCATTGACACATTGGAGATGGCTAGCACAGAAACCGAACGAGTGTATGAGAAGCGTATCGAAGAGCTCATGGGAGACATCCGGGAGCTTGAGGCCAGAAATCTTGACGTTGATTCCGTCGCAAGCCAACTGAGACAACTCGAAGAACTTGTGCAAGAGCTCGAGGAAGGCTTGGAGGATGCTCGTCGTGGTGAGGCTGAGGCAAGAGGTGAGGCTGAGTTCTTGAGAGGCGAGGTAGAGAGAACCAAGACGGAGTTGCGACGAGAGCGTGAACAAAGCGGCCCTGGTGGTGGCGCCCCTCACGACGACAAAGGGGCGCTGCTAAAAGAACTGGAGCAGAAGGAAGACGAAATCAGAGGACTGAAGGCCATCATCCACTCTCTCAGCAGAGACTCCATCGGAGACGCAGAGGATCGAACACCGACACAACGCCGGGGGTCTTTCATGAATGGTGGCGAAGACGGCGAGACGGCTCGTGCAAGTCTAGCAAGGCAAGTCGCAGAGCTGCAGTCGCTGCTGGACAAGAAGAATGGCAGGGAGGAAGAGCTTGAACAGGAGCTAGAGGCTCTTCGCGGGGGTAATCTCGCGACGCAGAAAAACTCGGGACATCGCTCTTCCCTCAGAGACTCGCGCGACACAGTCATTCCCGTCCGATTTTACGAGCCTATATCCCCCGAGGTGAACCACACGAGGGAGCCTAACCACAGGCGAGGTAATACACTGGACACGATGCATGAGAGCGACGCCTACTCAACAGCCACGGAGAATAGCACTCTCTGGTGCGAGATTTGCGAGACTGGTGGGCATGACATTTTGACCTGCACCAACATGTTTGGTCCAGAGGGTGCTGCCAAAGCTTCTAGTGACATAAAGACGGGCAAGGATGTTGTTCGCGAAGGCCTGAAGCTTCAAAACTCTCTGGGCGTGAAAGACGCCCACCCGGCTCCGCTCTCGCCGACAAAGCCCAAGGCAGCATTTCCTACAGCTCCCGCTATCAAAATCCTCCCGAACCCGATGGAATCTGGGCCAGTGGCGGGCAAGGAGAGTGGAGTTGTTGACACAGGGAAGTGGTGTGCGGTGTGCGAGCGAGATGGTCATGATAGTGTTGACTGTCCGTTTGAGGATGCATTTTAAGCTTTTGACACAGTGGATGATGATTGCTTGATGAGGAAGATATGTATGCCTGTTGGAGTACAGTGGCGTAATGTCATCGCCCTACGGGGTGAGTGTGCACCACTCTCTTCATGGAGCGCGTTGCTTGGACAGTGTACTCTTTTTTATTGATACCACCATACCCCATGTTCTTTATTAATGAAGGGGCGCCCTGTGTGTTGTTCGGGCGTGAAAAGGAAGTTTTTGTAATAATACACTACTGTATAATATCTTACTCTACGTACCCGTATTATCAAGATTTCAACTTTTTCTGGCACAGCAGGGTGTTCTGCCTTGGCCGTGAGTTGTTGATCCCCGGGGAGATCAGCAATATGCATTAATATGGCAACATGGAAAGGGTGCGCGCATTGTTGCTAAGGCGGTTTAGGGAGCTCCAGCCAGCGCAAGTTCCAAGTCAGCCGAAGTTTAATGGGACCACAAGGCCAAAATGCCACCCGATCGCTGCGAGGTCTGATTCCGTGCGACTCGTTAGGGCGCGCATCTGAACACAGAAAGAATTCAAATGTTCAGAGCGTAACATGGCAGTGCGTTAAGAATGGCCCGAGCCAAGGGCGTCACGGCACCATGATCAACGTAGCTGGTCTGCTTGGTTAAAGGAGGCACTATGGCGGACCAGTCGGAGGGCGGAGATTAAGTGCTCCCGACGAACATTTGGACTCTGGAGTACTCCGTACATATTACGTAGTATGACTTGATGGATTCAATGCTGACAAGGATCGAACAAACATGGATTAATATGGGCAGCCCCCTCTGAGCCTCACGTTGCCGACGCAGGCGGGGACAGCCAGGCTGCAACTATTAGTGCGCGACATCCAGGTGTTTTGTCAGAGCACCATTTTCAAGGCTCAACTTGCTAGAAAAAGATGGCTACCCTCGCAAAAAGGCCTGTAATACATTTATAGCTTATTCAATGCAGATTTTCCTGCTATAAAACCACTTTATCGGAGCCCCGTAGTTCTTGTCTGGGGGGTGTGTCCTTTGCGATCACGTCTTGCATTATCAGCACCGCCACAGACTCGACTTTCTTCGATAGATTTCCATGAGGCGCACTACCTTGGGGCGGACCCCTGCACCGTCTTCCGTCCTAGAGGAACGAGACTTTGTTTTTTTGAACTGCAACTTTCCCAGGAGCCGCTTGCGCAGACTTCCAACCTGGTCCCTTTGTTGTAATCTCATCTCTTCTCCCTCCACTCGAATTCTCTTCCTTACTTTATCCAGGCTTGAACAGGCTAGCGACCCTCTCGATCTCCAAGCACGCACAAATACCAGACGCCCTCGTCCCTTTTCTTTGCTCTTTCATATTTTTCGTTCAGAGCACCTGTTGTTGCAGGGCATTTGCCAAGGGCCACCGACGCCGCTTACTGCTGGCAAATTTCTCAGATAGGCGCCCCGCCACCAACGACAATAAACACATTCATCTTCCCATTTCTGTCTTGATTGATCACAGGGTACGTTGAGATGGTCACTACTTGCACAGTCGCTTGTTTTGGATACTCATAGCGCGAGGCCTGTCATTATATAAAATCTCGCCGTGGTTGCGTTGTTGCATCTTGTTGTTTGACCAGAGCCTCGCCTCCCGCCTTGGCCGTCTCACGCATCAGTCGCTTTCTGTTGGTTTCTGTACATGTTGACTAATACTTGGCTCCCCCTCCACCAGACTCAATATAGCTGCGATCACACTGCGGACTGAAAGAGTTGAACATAATCAACCCTTCGCGCCCCGACAGACTTCGACATCTTTATTCCTACTCCAACCACGTTTGCTCACTAGCTCCTTGAGCCTGTCACCATGTCAAGCGAAGACTACTACGTGATCCTTGGGGTATGTGAACACACATATCGCTGACTTTCGACAACAATGATAATCATCTAACGTTTCTATAGATCGAGCGTACCGCATCAGAGGCTGAAATCAAGAAGGCCTACAGAAAGACGGCTTTGCAAAACCACCCTGGTATGTGGCCTTGAGACTATTTAGTCGCCCTCTCCATCACCCGCATCAGTCTAACAAGCAACGCAGACAAAAACCCTGGCAATGCCGAAGCCGAAGCAAAATTCAAGCTCGCCACAGAGGCATACGAAGTCCTAACCGACTCTCAAAAGCGATCAATCTACGACCAGTATGGTAAAGAGGGCCTTAATGGTGCTGGGGGCGGCAGCGGCATGCCCGCCGAGGACCTATTCGCCCAGTTCTTTGGAGGCGGTGGTTTCGGCGGTATGGGAGGCATGTTCGGCGGCGGCAGCAGTCGTGGTCCCCCCAAGGCTCGCACCATTCACCACACTCACAAGGTCTCTCTCGAAGACATCTACCGTGGCAAGGTTTCCAAGCTGGCTTTACAGAGATCCATCATCTGCCCCAAGTGCGAGGGCCTGGGCGGTAAGAAGGGTGCTGTTAGCAAGTGCGCGGGCTGCGACGGCCATGGTATGAAGACCATGATGCGCCAGATGGGTCCCATGATTCAGCGCTTCCAGACTGTATGCCCGGATTGCAACGGTGAAGGTGAGATCATCAAAGAGAAGGACCGTTGCAAGCAGTGCAATGGCAAGAAGACGATTGTCGACAGAAAAGTCCTGCATGTCCACGTCGATAAGGGAGTACGCAGTGGCACAAAGGTCGAGTTCCGCGGCGAGGGTGACCAGTCCCCCGGAGTACAGGCTGGCGACGTTGTTTTCGAGATTGAGCAGAAGCCTCACGCTCGATTCACCCGCAAGGATGACGATTTGCTTTACAAATGCGACATTGAGCTCGTCACTGCCTTGGCCGGCGGCACTATTTACATTGAGCACCTCGATGATCGCTGGCTTGCTATTGACATATTACCTGGCGAGGCTATTGCTCCCGGTGAGTTTTAATTCCCCATAGGCACTATTTTTTCAAGACCACGCGTATATTGACCTCTTGTTTTTAGAATCCATCAAGATGGTCCGTGGGCAGGGAATGCCATCCCATCGCCACCACAATTTCGGTAACCTGTTTATCCACTTCAATGTCAAGTTCCCTGAGAAGAACTGGACTCAGGATCAATCTGCCTTCGCCGCCCTCCAGAAGATTCTCCCTCAACCGTCTGTCCAGAACATCCCTCCCACTGATGCCATGACCGAACCCGCCGATCTGGAAGATATGGATGGCCAGTCACAGAACCGAGTCTTTGGCAGCCCTGGCATGGACGAGGACGAGGACGACGGCCACCCCGGCGCCGAGCGTGTCCAGTGCGCTTCACAGTAATTGGCCGGGAAGACTGATATTGGCGATGTTTTCGATTACAAAAAAGTTGTTGACGGCAAGGTGGGGGCTGTACGATTTGACATGCCTGCTCTTAGAATAGGGAGGGCCGAGATCACGGGCATTGCCGACAATATAAACGAACTGCTAATAGCGCAGCGCATGTGACTCTCTCGATTTGAATCACGCAGCGCATCGTTTCTTGCGATCTCATTGATACCACACCGAAGAAAGGGCATAATAAGCAGCTGTGGCCCCACGCATTTATGGGAAATATGAAGCATGAACGGGGAAGGGTGGTGAAGCAAGACTGCGCTCTAAGTCGCCATTGACTGTCGGGGAAGCTGTGAGCGTTTCATCTGGTTGGTTGGCGTTTAGAGGATATAGATGATTCGACGAGTTTTGGTAGTTGCAGACTTAGACCATGCGTAACGTTGAATTTTGATTTTTCATTTGAATTTAATCATCTCGTGTAAAATTTGTTTCATAGTTTTACATACATATATATTTATCCCTCGGCAGGACTTGCCTCTTCCTCTCCATTGCCCTCTGCAACAGCATCAGTTCCCGCATCTTCACCACCACCTCCCTGTTTGCGCAAGTTTTCAATGGCATAAAACATGTTGCGAATTTCGCTTTCAGAAACTTGCATCTCTGGCCCATCGCTGCGTTGTCCATGAATAGGTATTTCCACATCGGATGACAGTCGGTGCTCAGTCCGTGTGAGGGTGTATGCGTGTAGACTCTTGGCCTGTACATTTTGGCCTGGGTCCATGGCCACGACGAGTTTGAGGGCCGTCTCGTTGGAAGCAGAGGCGATGGCGACGTGCAGTGGGTTGCAGGGCAGTTGGATGATGCCTGGGTTTTTGAGTTCGTTGTCCGGTGTGAGTTGCCATGTAAAGATGGCCGGGATGCTGTCGACTCTGTTAATACCCTGCCAGGGAATGTGGCTCTGGTGCCTCAAAAGTGAAAACTTACTCCTCGCATACCGCGAGAACATATGTCACGCCGCCTTCCTCGGGATACACCAGCGATGTCAGGCCCGAGACGGCTATTCGCGTCGTTTGCGGCGCAATCTCCCGCGCCAGGGCTAGCAGGTTCGTCTTGGAGAGGACGCGGCCGGCTTTCCAGTCCCAGATGAACAGCTCGTCGTCTCCGCCCCCGGACACGAGGATGTCCTCTCTGCGGAGGGGGATCGTCATCTCGCTGATGAATTCTTTGTGTCCGAGGCAGAAGCCCTCGATGATGTGGGCCTGTGGGATGTAGCGCGACACGCGGATGTGTTCGTCCCTGTCGGCTGTGAGGATATATTTCCGTCCCTGGGTCTCTGTGACGATGAGAGACGTGAGCATGGACACATGGCCTAGTAGTAGATGTGACTCGAAGATTGGTCCCTCAAGCTTCGCTTCTCCCCCCTTGGATCTTTCAAACTCGAGTTGCTTGCGCTGATGCTCGAGGGCTTCGAGGTTACGCTTGGAGTGAACGGTGAAGGTGTTGGCTGCTGGTTCGGTTGATGATGGTTTGGGGGCGGGCGCAGCGCGGAGAGCGAGGCTTGATGGTGATAGGGGCGTCATGATGAGTGGGAGGGAGTATACGTCGCCGAACTTGTCGGCGACTATGATTTGAGAGCCGGGCCCGGTGGTGATGGCGCTGGGGCGTTTGGGCATGACTCTGGTTCGTGTTAGTCCTGTGTGTGTATATCAAGCGTATTTTTAAAGACATGTTGTACCTTTGGCTGAGCTGAGTTATTTGACCCTCGCCGTCGTGCTCAAACACCCAGACAGACTTGTCATGTCCCGATACGGCAATGAGATGTTTCCCGTCGTCTGTACATGTCAAGAGGGTGATGAGAGGGCGGTCTACCACCCTTCCCATTCGTGACTTATCACCGTGATTGTCGCTCTTGCCCTTTCCTTTACCCCCCTTAACCTTTTTTTGCACAATTTCCTCTTTTGTTGCAGTGGCATCTCCTGCGGAAATGTTCAGATCGCCTTCAGCAACTTTCTGTCTCTTGGCCGGCGGCTCACTTTGTTCCGTTTCAGGGACATTTTCAGCATTTGTTGGTGTTTTGGTCTCACTCTTAGGCTCGTTTTGTGAGTCACCTGCTATGCTATGCCTTTCTAGATCGGGGTGTTGCCATGTTGATATGTGTTTATGGTCTGAGAGGTTGAATGAGTGAATCTTGCCACCGCGTGTGGCAAAGAGGATATTGCCTATGGTCTGAACCCGATTATACGGGATTGCCGTGAGACTCATTTCGAGGGATATATAAGGGGGCCGAAAGTTGACCCAATGGGTCTATTTTCAGTGTTGTTCAGTTGCCCTGACTTGTAAGTTTAACATCGTTTTAAAGCAAAGAACTTGATATACTGAAGCTCACCTGCAGAAAAAAAAAGTACATTCTGTATGTCACTTTTCTTACGTCTCTGCCTGGCATTTGGTTGGCCGTCCGAACACTAAGAAGTGGATAAGGTGAATGAAAGAAACACGTGACTATTCGTTGGAGATGCATCGTGTGGTCCACATTTTCTTGATCCAGCCTAGCCCAGGCAAGCCCTAAGCTGCAACGGGCCGGGGTGCGGCTCGCATAGCACACATTTTCATGACTGGCGAAACAAAATCCGAAATTTCGCCCACCCTCGACAAGTTGGTTTGCGACAACACCATCACGCAACCTCATCACCAAATCCCCTTCCTCATATATATACCCCTTGCCCTAAAAAATCCTGCCTTCACAAATAAGAAGATATGGGGGGCAAGACTGCTAACAAGGCCGGCTACTTCGACAAGCTCAAGGGCTTGCTCGAGGAGTACCGTTCCGTCTTCATCGTCTCGATTGACAATGTCAGCTCGCAGCAGATGCACGAAGTCCGCCACTCCCTGCGTGGAGATGGCGTTGTCCTGATGGGCAAGAACACTATGGTATGTCGCAGTTCCTTGAACATTGATGGGCAAAACCCGAGCCATTGAACAGTCGGGACAATTTCTGAAGCGATTTGATTTTTGCTAACCAAGTTTGCTGCCAATAGGTCCGCCGTGCCCTCAAGACCTTCATCAACGACACTCCCGAGTACGAGCGTCTCCTGCCCTTCGTCAAGGGCAACGTCGGCTTCGTCTTCACCAACGGCGAGCTCAAGGACATCCGTGACAAGCTTCTGGCCAACCGTGTCGCCGCCCCTGCTCGTGCCGGTGCCGTCGCTCCCGTCGATGTCTGGATTCCCGCTGGCAACACCGGCATGGAGCCCGGCAAGACGTCCTTCTTCCAGGCCCTCGGTGTCCCCACCAAGATTGCCCGTGGTACCATTGAAATCACGACCGATCTCAAGCTCGTCGAGGCCGGCACCAAGGTCGGCCCCTCTGAGGCCACCCTGCTCAACATGATGAACATCTCTCCCTTCACGTACGGTCTGGGAATCGAGCAGGTCTACGACCAGGGCCAGGCCTTCCCCGCCGAGATTCTCGACATTGGCGAGGAGCAGCTCCTCGGCACCCTGGCCAAGGCCATCACCACCATTGCCACCATCTCCCTGGCTATCAACTTCCCCACCCTGCCCTCGGTCATGCACTCCGTCGTCAACTCCTACAAGAACATCCTTGCCGTTGCCGTCGAGACCGAGATCAGCTGGCCCGAGATTGAGGACCTCAAGGACCGCATTGCCAACCCTGAGGCTTACGCTTCTGCCGCCCCTGCTGCCGCTGCCGCCTCTGGTGGTGCTGCCGCCGCTGCTGCCGAGGAGGAGAAGAAGGACGAGTCTGAGGAGGAGGACGAGGAGGGTTTCGGTGGTCTCTTGTACGTGGATTCTCCCCTGTTGGGGGGTTATTGTGAGCTCGTACTAACTTTTGCTGCAGTGACTAAACGGCATCTCGGAATAACGGCGTTGGGCTGGCTTTCACAATCTCGGTTGGGTTTACGATACATGCATCTTCCAAAAGGTTACATAGGTCGCTTGATGGTCAGCCAGGATATCTGGAAATGTCCTCTTGACACACGACACGTAATGAAAGCTATGCCTCACATGACGACTTGTACAAATGATTCCGTGAAACGTGATGAAGCCGCCTCGACGTTGAGCTCCACGCTATATATGAGAAGGTTAGTTGCTATTTTTTCTTCTTCCATTGACATGAAACAATCTTTTGGATGATTATGAAACAACTTCAAGAGCTTTTTAACCCTGAATATCTCCTGATGACACACGTATCACAACCCTATGACATCGTATTATTATTTATACCATTTTTATTGCCCTTTTCTTTCCAGAGCATTGGCTAACACGAAAAAAAAGTGCAATAGTAATAATACATCTATATCTTAGATTCGCTATTGTACATTGTATTTTGTACACGCCCATCAAATAGCCCCCGACGCAGCACATGTAGAAAACGTGCTAGGAGCGCCCTGTGCCTCGAGGACCTGCGTTGCAGTATCCATGGCTCGCTCAGGCAAACCTGCCAGCCTGGCTACCTTAAGAGCATGGCTCCGTCGATTTATGCCCTTCCGTAGCTTGTGAACATATACAAACCCCCCTTGGTCATCTTCCTCCACGTCGGTGCAGTATAGTTGTACCGGTCCGCCGCCGTCGACTGTGCACAGTCCATCTGATGCCGCCAAATCAGCGACACCATGAAAATGTGTCGCGAACAGTGTTCTGCACCGATTCACCGTGACCAGGTGGTGCAGACAGGCATATGAGACGGCGGTGCCGTCCTCAGGCGTAGTTCCCCGACCAATCTCATCCATGATGACAAACGACCGTGGCGTCGCTTGTTTGAGAATGTGCGCTGTTTCCAACATTTCGACCATAAAGGTGCTCTGGTCGCGGAACAAGTTGTCCGCGGAGCCGACACGACTGAATATGGCGTCTACAATACCCAGCTCCGCATACGAAGCGGGTACGTAGCATCCGATCTGGGCAAGGATGGTGATGAGGGCGTTTTGCCGCAGAAAGGTGCTCTTTCCTGCCATGTTGGGACCCGTGATCAGCCAGAGCAAGCCGTCTGGTTGACTTCCCACAAGACAATCGTTCCTGACAAAGCTTCTGCCTTGTTCTACCAGGCCGCCTTCAACGGTGGGATGTCGCCCGCCAATGATGGTGTGCGTTGTAGAGTTGTTGAGCTTGGGGCGGACGAGGTTCTGCTCAACGGCCAGCCTGGCAAAGGATGTCAAGATGTCGAGTTCGTCGAGGACTGCAGCATTACCGCGCAGCTTGACGAGGTTCCGGACGACCTGTTCGCGAAGGGATTGGAACACCTTCTGCTCTTCTCGGCGGATATGGAAGCGCGCTTGGTCAAGACGTTGGCCTAGCGTCGTCCATTCTGACAAGTGGAAGGATGTGGTTGAGCGGCTGGACGAAAGGGCTCGGATGTTGGTGAGATTCTTGGTATCCTTCCCCTTTATATGGGCAATGTGGCCAAGGCTTGTGCTCCACCGCAGTGTAAGGCTAGAAGCACCGAGTTTTTCGCGAAGAGAGTCACTTAGTTCAATCTTCTCATCTAGCAGAGACGAAAGTTGCGCATGCAGCCTTTTCAGGTTGGTACTCGCACCAGGTTTCATGATCCAGGCGTCGTTGTCTTCGGCATAGTACTCCTTGATGGATGTTGGTCGTTTCTTTTTGCTCTTGTGTAGGGATGATGCGTCTTCTTGAGATCCCTCGGTTGCGACAATATCCTGGGCAAGTGCGAGCATCTGGCTTGCTTCGGAGTCTTCTACTTCATGCTGGTGGACGATGCCTTCTTCGTCGATGGCGCCTTTGATTTTGCGAGCTAGTTTGAGTGGCTGGGTGAGATCGATACGCGATAAAAGCCCCGAAAGACACTCGTTCTGTGCGGCATCGGAACCTGACGCTGCTGCTTCTTGGAGTAAAATGACGATATCTTCCGTGGCTCGAATAGTGTGTGCCAGTGCTAGAAGGTCGTCGGCGTCGCCTCTTCCCAGAGAAAACTTCTGGACTAGTCGTTGCGAATCTTGGCTCCGTCGGAGTAGCATAATGATGGAATCACGAAGATGCTCGGCAGCAATGAATCTTGCAACCAAATTTTGTCGCGTATTGATGACATGAAGAGATGTAGAGGGCGAGCTAAGCCATTCATTCAACAGTCTTGCTCCGCTCTTTGTAACTGTTCGTCGAATGCCGTGTAAGAGACTCCCGCGAAAGAGGCCATCCCGGATCGTTTGCTTGATTTCCAGGGCCCGCAGACTGTTTTTATCAATATTCATGATTTGCATGCTCTCGTGTCGCGTAGGCGGCAGTAGTCTCACCGTCATTCCCTGGAGTCGTCCCTTGACGTAGTTTAGGACAAGGCCACCAGCGAGGACTTCCTCGCTTGTGAAAGTTTTCCGGGCACTCTCTGGTACTGGTGATTCTAATAATGGTGTCCAGTCTCCGATGTCCGTCAGGCCACCCTTGGGGGAGTACGTTATTAGATGTCTGTCCTCAGCTAGGATGGAAAAGATGTCATGATCCTTTTGGGATTCGATGTTCTCATCCAGAACAACTTCTCGAGGGCCAATACGGGACAGTATTGACGGTAGAGAAGCCAGGTCTGCGGACTGCGTGAAGAAATGGCCCGTCGACAAGTCCAGCCATGCCAAGCCAAGTAGCATTGGACTTGCTGGAGGTGAAACGCGAATGCCATGGTCTTCAACCATGGCAGACTTCAACTCCGGTGCCTCCTTGCTGCCTGCAAGGTGTATAGCCAGAACATAGTTGTTCGCATACGGATCAATAAAATTTTCGTCAATCAGGGTGCCGGGGGTAACAATTCGAGCCACCCTCCTGTCATGCATCAAGCCTCCAGACTTGACCTTGTCTGCGGCGTCATTGGGAAATTCCTCAGCTATAGCCACGTGACGATTCAGGTCCTGGACTAGAATCTTCAGAAACCGGTCCAATTGGAAGAAGGGGAAGCCAGCCTATGATGGATAGTGTGAGCTGCAAGATTCCAAGAAAAGGGGGGAATTGGGCTCGTCTCTTACCATGGGCACAGGCCCAGCGTTGGTTTTTTTAGATGCCAGCTTGAGATTCAGAAGGGGAGCATACTCATCGGCGTGCTCAAAGTACAATTCGTAGAAGCTGCCGACGCGGGTGAGAAGCACGCAGTTGTCAAACTTGCGCATGTTGCGGCTTGCCTGGAGCACTACCGTGGGATAGCTGGGCTCACTCTCCTCTTCTTGAGGGGGTTTGAATTCTGACTTGATTGGGCCCTGGGGCAAGTCACACAGCTTTATGGTAGTTTTGGTCTTTGCGCCGCGACATTGCAGTTGACAAGGCGCGCCGTTTGAGGGCGAGATGGACGGTTGTGCGAACGGAGGATACAGCCCACCACGACAGGTTACAATTCGGGCTCCATGTTTTTGCAACAGTCGAGCTCCATGGATACGGAGTGGCGGGAACATGGGAGCTCGGATCCCCTGAATGCTCCGTGTAGCTAGCGACGTTGCTGCGGGCTGGATGGAGTTGAAGAAGATGGCGATGCAGTCTCGCTGCTCCTTGTCGATAAGTCTTCTTTCTGTGGCTTCTGGTGTGGAGCTTACACTGTGTGTGGTTCGACAGCACAGAGATTCGATAGAGGGCAGCTTGAATCAAATACTGGCTATGGAGTAGTAGAAAATATGGCAGCTTCATGGCATATTTATTTATTTTTTATTGCATTTCTGCCTCAATCCAGAAGCTGGCAATATTTCTTTTGTTCTGTCCTTGATTGTTCCATGAATTTGGTGCAAGTGGTGGTCCAGTCAGCAAGGGGGCAGCAAATGACACCGGCCAGCACAGGCGCGCAAAGATCAAAACATCCGGATATCAAGACAGTAGCTGGCAAGTGTGCATGCTCGGACAAAATTCTCCTTTGTCCTTGTGCAATTGCGCGTTTGCATGCTAAAATTGGAAAATACATGTGGCCATGCCACGGAGTGCATGCTGGTGGCATGCACCGAGGTACAGTAGGAGGCCAAAAGTGCCTAGTATTTAGCCAGATCAGGTACCTGGCTATCGGGCTCTGTACCATGATATACTTCGCATATTAGTATATAATTTATATCTTGTTGTATAAGTACTTTTCGGTTGACAAATATATTCTGCTACAGACTGGGACATCTATCTGGAGTTAGTACGGGTGGATACTACCTTAAGTACTAATAGTACCGACTCAAGTACCTCTGGTAGGTAAGGGAGTAGGTGTCCAGCAGTTTCTAGATTCAGATCAGCGATACGTCAATTTGACACCAGACCCGATGCAGGAATCTTACAACTTATCAAGAAAGAAAGAAAGAAATATGGTTGTACAAAAAATACTAGACGACTATATCCGCAAGAACATCCCCCGACGGAAAAAGCCCTGCAACCACAAGCTTCAAGCCATACATGACGGGGCCTCGTGGTTCCAAGCCGTGGCGGCAGATTCCGAGCTGGTCGAGCGCAAACAACATTGAAAACCCATAGTCCATAATGCTCCTGGCTGACAGTTATCCATCACAATGGCCACAAAGCCATCGTGAGACACAAGAGACACACATGTACGCCTCGCCTCTTTGCTTTGTACGATCCAGGATTGTTCCAAAAACAACACACCGATGCTGCCACTCGGTCGCACGTGCGTGCGTACGCGAAACCTCCAACAGATCAGCAATTGGCGTCGATACACGAATGCGCTTGCCTCGTGACGCGAGGCCAAGGCGTTCGCTAGACGACAGCACATGTAGCGACGTCCGGGGACACGGATTGTTGCTCGGGCCAATATCTAAAGACAACACCGGAGCTGCGTCGTGCTGCCTCACTCGTCTGCATCCCTTGAGCATCTTCTTTCTTGGCACCGCACGTCGGCATTCGGCCGGGAACCTTTGTCCTCTGCTTTCCCTACTGCAGCCGCCTGGCATCTATCGACCTTTGTTTGTCTCGCGACAACCCCCACGCATTTCTGCCCGGTCGCATGTCGTCGGTGCATCACTGCCCCGAAACCTGTACTCAGTCTTCGGAACGCTTGCCTTCGCCCTCAACTACCTAGCACTACACACGAAGGCCTCGTTGGAGTCGATAAGGAATAACAAAATAGAAATACACAGCAGCGATACCGTTATCCTTTGTCACGATGAGGTTTGTCCATCCCAGTGTTGCTTGTTTGGCCGAGACCAAAATGAGACAGTCTGTGACATGCTCCCCGCACGCCACACCCGGTCCACAATCTCCAGAAGCCGATGCAACATCCACATCGACAGGCCCACCCACCAGATGCTTCAAGGCCAAGGGAGCAAGGAAGCTCAAGCCGGGCTGTCGGTCCTTGGAGTAGGACATCAGGAAACGGAAACCGACGTGACACCAGACGCCATGGAACGCAGAGTCGCCAGCCAACCAGACCAGGCCCGACGTCCTCTCCCCTGCGCCCGATGCATTGCCCCTCCACGATTCGAACACTTGAGTACTTGAAAAGCGGCACTGGTACCACCAAAAACCACCTAGCCCCAGGTCCCTAAGCGCCCCCAGGCCCGCCCCCGCCCAGCCAGTTGACCCGATCCCAGCCCCACCCCCCCTGCTGAAGCTCTCTCGAGCTTCCCCATCCACCACTTGCAGCATCGATCCCCTCTCCCGCCCTCGCCAGTTACAGCCACCGTCATCCGCCCTCGACTTGCATCCAACATCGTCAAGCCTCTCCGTCACCTTTAGCTCTTTTGCTATCGCGCTCTCTGTACGGAATTCTGCTCTTTTGAGTTGCATGCCATACCACGGCAACGCCCTGCTACCTTGTCCGTCCTGCATCGGCTCAACTGCTCTGGGTCCCTTGCTCTCGTCAGCTGCTGATTTAAATACTGCAGTTCCTACGAGAGTCTCGCCCATCCCATCTTTCCTCGGGACGCCAACTGCCCTCAGCATATCCCTTCGCCGGATTACGTACAGCCTATTTCTCTGACCGGAAAGCTGCGACGGCTTTCCAATCGCTCAGCTCCACCAGCCCCAGGAGTCAGTATCGAAGCTCTTAACATGGGCGGCGGTGGTGACACGAGGAGCAAGGTCTCCTACCCCGTGCTTGTTCGCAGACCAGTGGGCGTTCCCAAGACCAGCATTCTAAAGGACCGAATTGAACCCTTTTACAAGCCTGGCCAGTATGACAAGGTGAACCTGTTGGCGTAAGTGATCGCGTTTCCATTGCTACATAGACAAACGAAGAGTCGTGGCGCTCTGACTTACAAACTCTGATGGAATTAGCAACCTATACAACGCAAGGTTCTCCGGTAAGCCTCACGTAAAGATCTATGTTTGGAGTGCCCCCGGTCAGGATCGACCTACGTTCAAAGAGGCAACGTCACACGAGTTCAAGGAAACTCACATTGGTGCATCTTTTGGTCCGTCATGGACCACGCATTGGTTCCGGCTCCACCTGAAAGTGCCAAAGGAAATTCTCGACCAAGAACTTCTTGTTCTGGAATGGGACGCCAACAATGAGGGTCTCGTTTGGACCGAGTGTGGCATCCCCCTCCAGGGCCTCACCGGCGGCGGTGATCGTATTGAATGGAATCTTCCCGACTCCTTCAGAGATGGCAAGGAACACGTCATTTACATCGAAATGGCTTGCAATGGCATGTTCGGAAATGCTCCCAACGGCAAGACTAGCATTGCTCCTCCGGACCAGAACAGATACTATGGTTTAAGCAAGGCCAACATCACTGCCGTCAATGTGGACGCTCGCAAGCTGTACTTTGACATGTGGGAGCTTGGAGACGCTGCGCGAGAGCTTCCAGAAGACTCTGCTGAACAGAATCATGCCCTTGCCGTTGCCATGAGGATCATTGACACGTTCCAGGTCAACAATCAAGAATCCATTTTAAAGTGCAGAGAAATTGCCAAGGAGATCATCGGACCGGACGTTGACTCTGACAAAGTCTACCAACACGGTAAGGAGCCTGTCGTATTTGGTATTGGTCATTGTCACATTGATACTTGCTGGCTATGGCCCTTTGCGGAAACAAAACGCAAAATCGTCAGGTCTTGGTCCAGCCAATGCGACTTGATGGACCGATATCCCGAGGCGCGCTTTGCGTGTTCCTCGGCGCAACAGTTCAAGTGGTTGAAGCAACTCTATCCCAGTGCATTCGAGCGCGTCAAGCGCAAGGTCAATGAGGGACAGTTCCATCCCATCGGTGGTAGTTGGGTTGAACACGACACAAACTTACCCAGTGGAGAGTCCCTTGTTCGACAATTTTTATATGGTCAGCGATTCTTCGAGGTTGAGTTTGGCTCTCGCTCCCGCACTTTCTGGCTGCCAGACACTTTTGGATATTCCAGCCAAATACCCCAGCTCTGTCGCCTGGCTGGCATGGACCGTTTCCTGACCCAGAAACTGAGTTGGAACAATATTAATACCTTCCCCCATACCACCTTTATGTGGGTGAGCCCAGACGGCAGTCAAGTCATGTGCCACATGCCACCATCCGAAACATACACAGCAGAAGCCGACTTTGGTGACCTGCGTCGCAGTATCAGCAGACACAAGACGATGCGGGTCGACAGTTCCTCGCTGCTGGTGTTTGGTAAAGGCGACGGGGGCGGTGGCCCAACATGGCAGCACCTAGAGAAGTTGCGTCGATGCGCAGGTATCAGCAACACCATTGGGGGCATTCCCAAGCTCAAGCTTGGTCTGAGCGTTGACGACTTCTTTGAACGTCTGGCACCCAAAGCCAAGGATTTTCCTACGTGGTATGGTGAACTCTATTTTGAGCTTCATCGTGGCACATATACCACACAAGCCAACAACAAGATGTTCAACCGCAAGGCCGAAGTTCTCTTGAGAGATATCGAGCAACTGGCAACAATTGCTTCTATCAAAGACTCGTCCTACAAGTATCCAACGAGGGAGATTGACAGCATGTGGGAGAATGTTTTGCTTTGCCAGTTTCATGACTGTCTTCCTGGCAGCTCCATTGAAATGTGTTATGATGAATCCGACAAGGTAAGGGTTACAGTCGGCCGACTCCTCTTGTAATGCACAACATGTTCCATACTAACAGAAGGCACAGTTCTACGCTGAAGTGTTCAAGACCGGTGACAAGCTGCTTGCGGATCTATATAACTCCTTTGGGGTATCTTCTACCTTGTCAAACTCTCTCCACGAGTCCGTCGTTGTCAACACGCTGCCGTGGCATCGTAAGGAAATTGTCCAGCTATCTGAGACTGAAGTTGGTGTTGCTTGTGGAGATGCTCAATTGCTCCCCGTCCGCCGCTTTAAGATTCAAGAGAACAAGCCCGCGGTCGCTTTGACCTCGAACGGAGAGATATTTGTGTTACAGAACGAACAACTCCGTATAGTGGTTGAAAAGGGCTGTATCACCTCGTTGTATGATCTTGTCAATGATCGCGAGGTTGTCGAGCAAGGTTGTCAAGCCAACAAGTTTGTTATCTTTGACGACATTCCTTTATACTGGCAAGCCTGGGATGTTGAAATTTATCATCTCAATACCCGCAGAGAGCTTCACTATGGCAAGACGAAGATCCACGAGAACAAGCCGCACCGTGTTACTCTGGTTACCGATATCAAAATTAGCGACCAGAGCTCCATGAAATCCTACATCTCTCTTGGGGTGGCTTTAAAGGGACAGCAGTCTCAAGTTGATTGCTCCGCCGAAGTTGATTGGCATGAAGACTGCAAGTTTTTAAAGGTTGAGTTTCCTGTTAATGTAGTTAATACCGAGGCTTCGTACGAGACTGCATTCAGCATCACCAAGCGACCTACACACTACAACACCAGCTGGGACATGGCTAAGTTTGAAGTATGCTGCCACAAGTTTGCTGATTTGTCCGAGCACAACTATGGTGTTTCTATTCTCAACGACAGCAAGTACGGTTTTGCTACTGCAGGCAAGACCATGCGTCTGTCGCTTCTTCGCGCGCCAAAGGCCCCTGACGAGCACGCTGATATGGGGCAGCACAGCATCCGTTGGGCTATTTTCCCCCATAATGGCGCCTTGTCTTCTGTTACTGTCAAGGCGGCTTACGCTTTCAATAACCCACTGAAGCTGCTGTCCGCCCCCGAAACAGCCATTCAGTCCATATCGGAGGCACCAATCAAACTGATTAACAGGGATGAGTCTTCGTCGTTGATTCTCGACACAATCAAGCGAGGTCACGACGATGAGGATGTGAGCCTTCGGGAGGGCTTGCGAGTGAACAAGGGACAAAGCATCATCCTGCGTGTGTACGAATCTCTAGGCGGCCATAGCAGAGGCACCATCGAGACGTCGTACAATGTCAAACGAGTGAACAAAGCAAACATTCTCGAGGATGCGTTGGAAGAGGTAGAACTTGGTGATGGCAAATTTGATATCAAGCTGAGACCGTTTGAGGTGGCAACGTTCAAGCTTCAGCTTTAGGACACTAATGAGCTTGAGTGCATATGTCCCGATGCCAGCATCAAAGTTGTGCTAGGTATGCGGTAAGGGGGGATTACATTGGACGTATGAAGCAAATATAGAGATGAAAGTGATGATGACTGTAGGAATCTTGAATGCGGGACGTTGATGCAAATGAATTCAGTCTTACTTGCCCCTACAAAACTTGCCCGCTCCTGTGCATGCAATGCAATTGGTGAAGATTTTCTCTGGTCGTGCTACATACAGAAAAGTCATTTGTTCAGGGAGTCTATGACTCCAGCTCTGCTAATTATCTACATTCATTAATCCGTAACGCCTATGCCCAAATATAATACCATCAATGTGATGCGGAAACCCACAAAAGTCCATCTGACATCATGTCGAATGGCATTGCCGGCCGTCACAGCAGTGCGAATGAATAATGTTGCATAATGTTGCCCCAACAGTCCCAACATTTGGGCCATCATGAGGGTGAATTACAAGCCCCCCTCATCGGGAAGATCTTCAATGACGCCCTCCACCATGGTGATCAACTCACCTATGCCGGGCCTCTCAGCGGGTTCCACCTTCAAGCACTGCCTGACAATGTTCCGAACCGGCTCGCTGATGGTGGGATTCGTGTTCTCCGAGGCGCTCGCGGCGGAGTGGTCGCCCGAGGCGGCGCGGGCTTTGGCCTGGCTGATGCTGTTGACGCGCTTGGCGCCGCCGGGGGTTTCGTCGGGGAAGCGCCAGTCTCCGCCGAGGACGCAGAGGCTCAGGGTGCCGCCGGTCTCGTCGGAGCGCATCTCGAAGGGGGACTTGCCGACCAGGCAGGCGTAGAGGGTGCAGCCCAGCGACCATATGTCCGTCTTGGTGTCGATGACGGACCCCGTGTGCACGTCGAAGAGCTCCGGCGCGCGGTAGGGCATGGTGGAATGCTCGGCGGCCGTGTCCTGGATCTGGAGCGCGACCGACTGCGACGTGACGGGGATGGGGGACGGGGCCACGGACCCGAGGTCCATGAGGATCGGGGTCGAGCCCGAGTCGTCAATCATGATGTTGCCGGGCTTGATGTCGCGGTGGGCGTAGGACCGCACCTTGCCGCCCGCCGAGACGCGGTTCTCCGACTCCATGAGCGGCCGCTCCTGGTCCTCCTCCTCGTCCGCCTCGGTGCGTTTGCCCCGCGTGCCCATTTTGCTGCCCGTGCCGCGGCGGCTGTTTGCGCCGGGGGCGTCCTCCTCGTTGCCCATCTCCATGCGCTCCGCCGGAGGGGCCTGGTACTCGTGCATGGAGCGGAGGGCCTTGCACACGCCCAGGAAGAGGGTCATGAGATGGCGCTCGGGGAAGCTGCCCCTGTTGACGAGGTTCGCGTTGATCATGTCCTGGAGGTTGCCGCGACGGTAGTACGGCAGCAGCACGTAGACCGTCTTGGTGGCCTCGTCGGAGCCCCGTTCCGTAGCCACGGCGTGGTCGACGGCCGATATGATGGTAGGGATGTGTGCGAAGAGTCGGTAGGCGTCGACCTCGCGCATCGCCTGTTGCACAGACTCGGCGCCAAACGGACATCGAATCTTCTTGAGCGCGAAGAGCTCGTGCGTGGCTGTATCTTCAACAAGGTACACGTACGAGAAGCCGCCCTGTGGAGTAAATCAGCATTAGCAACTTTTTCTCTCTTTTTTTTATTCTTCATGGTATCGTGAGTTGTAGATTGGGGATGGTACCTCGCCAAGAAGACGGAGGATCTTGAAGCTCCGGCTGTTAATCTTGAGTGTAGGCGACCCGGGGAAACAATTCAGACAGTTCCCTAGGGAATAGAACAAATCTAGAACGAATTGCGCCATGGCAAGAGTCGGTAGTCTTCGCCCCTCCAGAAGCTGTGAATGTACTACAACTGACTTGGCCGTCCGTCGTTCCCGTCGGGAGGCGATGGGATTGCAGCAACTGTGGCTGTGTCGAGCGGGAGAGCTTTTCGCCAAGCTCGAGATAAGATGGCAAGGCAAACCGAAGCCGCCGAGGCGAGGGATACAAAGCAGAAGACAATGATTACAGCGTCGACAATTCCATGCCCCAGGCGACGTCCGAGGAGCAGAGTGTGTGTCGTGTTTCGTGTGTTTCGTGTTGCGACAGCTCACCCTCAGACGGAGGATGCAAGCTGTTGGACTGACTGACGTTGTACCTTGTCGGTGGAGACCAGAGCTGACAAGGATCTGACATCAAACTTCATTGGGCCACGGGAGGACCTGGGTTGGCTGGTGGGCTTGGCGTGACCCTAACCCTAGACGGGTGGAAGTGTACACTGTAACACCTCCTCGCCAGCCACTGTCCGTATCATTCCTCACATGGATGCTTGTAATCATAGGCACATTGTGATGACAGACTGTGTCTCCGTTACTTAATTCCGCGGCTCCCCTTCCGTTGCCCGGTGAGCAGACAAGTCTATATCCGCAGGTACGTAACAGTACTGAGGGGCCAAGATCCACGGCCTCCCACCTCGTTTGATAATATAATATACAAGTAGTAGCATCCTTCCCTCGTCTCTACTTCTACTCATCCAACTTGAATCCAAAAGCACTCCACTGTGACTCCCAAATCGAATCAGATACAACGACGAACTCCGTTGAGAGCTCGTGATTCCCAATCCCCATAACAAACGAAAAGAAAAGCCGAAAAAAAAACCAAGTAAAATAACGCCTTCTGGGTATTCCAGATTCCCGTTTTGTTTTCCCCTGTCGCTTTGCTCTACAAAACACTAACACAGACATTGCGAAAAAGACAATATATAACCACGTGGCCATGTCTCCTTGCTTCCTTATTCCGTTCTAAAATACTTCGCAACAGCCTCACGAAAGCAAATTCCGTAGCGATGGGCTTGCGCTTGCCCCGCTAGCCGGTCTATTTTCCGGGGGTCGATGTCCAAGCCCGCCAGCCGAGTGCGCCGATTCATGGCCAGCGGGCGGTGGTCCACCTGGCGGAGGCAGACCACTTCGAGCCAGTGGAGGACTCCCATGTGTACCGCCAGTATAGGACGGCCGTTGTGGGTGTAGTCCATGTGAGAATCCTTCTGATCGAGGAGGTAATACGCCGTTACTTAAGCCTGGAGAAGCACTATGCCGTGGTCCCGATGCAAGGGCCGGGGCAGGAGCGCTCCCATATGAGGGCACATAGGCAGACGATGCGGTCGTTCCGTTTAGTCGTCGCGGTGAGGGGGGCAATGCGCTTCCATATATCGGGGAGCCATGTGGACGCTGGTGTGGAACAGAGACTGCGGCCACCGGGGGCGGCCCCGACATAGACGGTGGCCGCAACGCTGTAAGGCCCGATGCTGGAGGCGGTCCAGTGTTGTGCAGTGGTAGTGGTGGCGGTCCTCCATTAATGTGTCGAGTCGGCGAGCCGTGTTGGCTCCCCCAATCGTTGTACGTTGTCCTTGGGGGCGGTACTTGGGGATAGCCATGAGATACTGGCCCAGGTCGAGAGCCGAGCGAATGCGCCTGCGAGTGTGTGGCAGGATGCCCTCCGGGTGGTGGCCCATGAGCTGCTGACGGGCCAGGTGCTGACGGGCCAGGTGCTGACGGACCATGGGATGGTGGGTGATGCAGCAGTGAATGGATTTCTGGACGCAAAGGAGCTGCTCGATAATCTGCAGAGAGTACTCGTGGAGGGCTTCGCAGCGATGGTGGTGCGGGTGTTTGGCTGTGTGATCCGCTCAAATGCTGTCGGGGAGGCTCTGCAACTGGTGGAGGCGATGGACGTGCAGCAGCAAATGACTTTGGCGTTCGGGGGTTCTTCTTGCACTTGTGGCATTGAAACTTGCGTTGCTCGACAAACTTTTGTGCCTCGAATCCAATCGCACCATGATGTCCATTTGTGAGTTGTTGTTCCTGAGTTTTCTCAATCGGCCACCATCTAGGTGTAACATCAATGCCGCAGGTAATGCACACCTTCTCTCCAGGCTGTTGAGCATTCGTTGCTGCGTCCATCGGTTCTCTGTTGCGCGAATGACTCGACGCGCCATTTGGAGCTGCCGCTGCTGTTGTTGCACTAATAGCCGATGTCCGTCGAGCACCCGGCACAAGAGGAAGGCCAGACATTTTGGCAGCAGCCATCATAAGATTAGCCTTGCGCACAGTGCCCGTCAGTCCCAGGTCTGCCTGCTTGTAATGTTGAACGTAAAGCTGTAGTGCGCTTAGCCCTGACTCGCTGACGACATCATACATCTTGTGAGCCATCGTCTTGGTGGGAATATGGTCTTGGCACCAGACTACGGCCGACATAGTTCCAATCTCTCCCTTTACCGTCACAATGTTGAACTGGTCGCGACGGCTACTCTTCACAGGTGTGATATCGAATGCAAGAAGGTGGCCTGCCTGGCGAGCACACTCCACGTGGTCTACAATTCCCGTTAGCCTTTTCTCATCTTTCGCATACGTTATTGCCCGCTACTCACAAGGTATCCGACATTGGTGGCAAGAGACACAGGCACCTCCTTGCTGGTTGCAGACCTGGCAGACCTCATCATATCTAGCACGGGGGATTGACGGGATACCCTCCGACGGTTCCAACGCCTTGGCATTACCGAACTTTACCTCAGGCGTCCATACTGCACAGGTAACATGAACCCAGTTGTTATCGGCCGTGCGCTTGAGTGGCTCTCGAGGGTTGACAGGCCGGTTGAGGTCTTCCTGTCTCTTGCGATAAAACTCGGCAGCCTTCCGCGCCTGCTGGACCTCCAGTCTCTCACGCTCGCGATCCTTGTCGGACATCTTCTTCTTATGGTGTGTGAGCTTGGGCTGCTCAATGAAGTCTTGTTCGGTGTATTCAACTGGACACAAGACGCATTTGTATTGCTAGACATTACTATTTAGTCACAGTACCAATCAACCTGTAAGCAGATGAGGAGAGCCCGGCACTTACAATTGAGACTTGTGGGCTCTTGTCATTCGAGCACATGTCACAAATCCACTTGCCTTGAATCCGATTGTCCATGACACCGTAGCAGTGACGATGTACTGTCAAGCGACACTCTCTGCAAGAGAGATGTTGGTCGCCCAGAGGCTCCATCTGGTCGCAAATGGCGCAGGGAAGAGTTCGTGGTTTTGGCAAGTCGGGAACAGGTGTAGTTTCCGCGGTTTTGTCCTTCTTTCGTGAGACTGTAGTATTGCTTCCAGCATCCGAGACTACAGCATCGGTGTCTCTCTCTGGTGCCCCCTTTAATTTTTTTCTTGGCGGCTCCAACCCGTTGACCGAAGTAGCTGGCGTGGAGCTACGATACGGACTCATTAAGCCCATATCTTCCGCAATCTGAATCTCTTTGAGAAGCTCCTCCTCCTGCTTCTTCTTCCAAATCTTGGCTCCAGATTGGCCAGCTTTCTTAATCAAGTCCTCCGGTGGCTCGTATCGAACAGCATATCGACGCCACAGCTCAGCACAACGTCGGCAAAGAGCCACCACAGACTGGTTGCCTTTGTCCTTGCTGGTTGCCCTGCCTCCGTTTTCGCTAAGAGGACCTTGACTAGCGGGTGCTCGACGCCATTGTCGGCAGTCTTGTGACTCACAAAACAGGCAGATAAAGCTGCGCTTCTGAACAAGAGCCTTTTCAGTGTCGAAAGCCGAATCGTCATCAGCGTCAGCCACATCATCAGCCGCCTTTGACGCAGCAGTTTCTTCCTTCTTGGCCAATTTCTTGCCTTTACGGCCAGAGTAAGACCCCCAGACCTGTCTGCCCCGCTCGGTCTTTTTCCAGGTATAGTACCACCGTACTACCGCACCGGGTGTCATTGTTTTCACATGTTTCATCACCAGGTGCAACTCTGACCCATACTTGGCTACTCCCTCCTCAAACTTCCTATTCTCAACCGGTGTCAGGGTCGGCTCCTTGAATGAGTCCCGTTTTGTGTCTGGAAGTGCCTTTAGAGCAGCAGCGGGATCATAATCGTGGCGGAATAATGTCTCCAGCGCAACATCTTGAAGATTTGTGGATCGTTCTGGGATGTTGAATCTCTTCGCCATGCCTTGAGCCTTGGTCATATAGCCGACAATATCATCATCACCGACGGTGTCGGAGGGTGGCGGCATCCAAAGTCGGGTAGACGTGGCGGCTGGATCGTTCTCGTCCAAATCTTCTCCGCGAACCTGATAGCCAGGTGGTTCATCCTGCACCCACTTGGGTCGCTTGGTCCGAAGCGCCTTCTCGGCCTCCTGAGCAATTTGAGCTTCTTTGGATAGTTTGGGGACTCCCCTGCCCTTTCTCGTCTCCAGCGGCTTGACATATTCAACCGGGCGCCCAGGCCAAACACCCACATTAGCTTGGTGTCGGGGTCCGATTCTTGTGCTTGCGCGAGGGTGGATTCGATCATCGTAATCAAGGGCATCCTCCGGTTTACAGTGCATGCCTAGGTAGCGCCATGGCCAAAGGCTTGCTTGATAAATCTGCTCCGCTGTGGCGTGATGATGCTCCTCGTTGTCCGCTGGGGTGGTGCGGTCGGTGATGATGCCGGGCATATCGTCGTCGTCGTCGTCCAGAGCATCATCATCGTCGGCATCGCCATTAGCGTCAGTGCCATTAGGGGTGTTGCGAGCCTCGAGCTTGCGCTCCTGGGCTCGGCTGCACGCTGCGCACGACCATGCGAAGCCTCGGGACGGCTTTTTGAGCAGGGGTGGTTTAACACAGTTCATGTGGTACGTGTTCTGACACACTGCACAATCCACCGAGTCATTACTGGAGATGAAGCAGAGTTAGTGGAAAGCAAACAGACAGAGGCTTCAGCGAGGAAGAAAGAAATGAAAGCAAATAAAATAAAAGCCGATCCCGCATGCTTCATATTTGAATTGGTATTTTGGCAAC